TCATCTATGAAGCAGCTCTGGAGAAAACAGTGATGTCATCATCCAGCTTAGTTCCGTTCTCATCGTAATTTAGAGAGATTCTTTTGCTTTTGTAACTCTTATGACAGTAGTGTCAGTACTATGATATGATCTAAATCCTGACTGGAATAATCAGCAGATGGTTCAAAGATAAAAAGGTTTTCAAGCATTAAAAAAAAGTGTAATACAACTTTAAATGTTATCTTTTTTCTGTACATTAAAATGTATCCTGTTTAAAAAAAAAAATCTGAGAAAAATAATAATGGCTACCATCTATTTTTACCACAATTTACAGAAGATTAAATTTGAATTCAGTGTAACAATAGTTATATGCAAAAAAATCTTGTCACGCATATTTTGAACAACAACCATTTGATCACAGTGCAGCCCCCATATACTAATTAATTGTAATTTTAAATCTTTATACTTTGCTTATCCTTCAAACCACTAGGTTTTACCCGTTTGTCAGGAAAAAAAATTTGTAAGTGAAAATCATATAACAAAATTTTGTAGGATCACTTATTCTTATATAAATGTACAGCTCAGAATAAGCATAATATTAATTTTTACATAAATAAATCTGTTACGCCGAATGACCATGGTTTGTCAAAATGGGAGAGAGTATTGGTATTGTCATTGTTCCCATTATTGTAATGTTTTTAGTATTAGTCTTTAATTCAATTTAAATTACTTTTAATATTCCTGAATAAATAACAGCAGAAGTAGATGTTGAAAAATAATACACATTTTATTTTAAGGCATGCCAATAATTGTTCTACCTGAACAACGAGCGTAACAAAGCCCTTTATAATGAACAGTGGACAATTAGTATTGTGTAGCAAAAATGTTAATTTTTCAAATCTCTTGACCAGTAGGTGGCGCTGTCAAAACTGCAAGTACTTTTAAGTCATGATTGGGATACCAAGGTACCAAGTTGCATTCATGGTCTTCAGGACGTCCGTTAAGTCCATAAGACCGTATGTCCCATTTGTCATTTTAGGTTTCAGAAGGGTGTTCGTGAGCTTCACTGCCGATATGCGCCCTCGATGTGCACTTTTGCAGAGCCCGCACTGATTCGAGCTCCACAGCAGACTTCTTCCCGACAGTCAAAGCAGCGTTACGTCACGAAAGTGCAGGCTCATAGGAAGACCGCGAGTGCTTAGGGTGCCATTTGGGACAGGGCCAATATACTAAAGTGTTATCGAATTTTTTGATGCGCTATACAGGTACGGTTTGGTCTATTGAACAACTGATCTGAGCCAATTTTGGTGAAAATCTGACTAAATGTCTTGGGCAAGTTCGAAAAATTTGGGTTTTCAGAAAATCCATGTGTTCGACTTCACTTGAGCTGAGGAATCAGAGGAGAAAAAACAGTTTCTAGCCCTTGTGGTTCAGAAGTTATTTGTAAAAACACAAGTGCAACTTTGAGCAGTTGTAGCACTAGAAGGTTTGAGTTAGAGACTCCAAATTTGCTGTAGATAATGTTGAGACTATCCTCTATCGGTCTCCACCTCTATCCAAATTTCATAACTTTCCTGCAAATGGTTCTACTTGAGTGGAAGAAGTGTACAATAGGTGCCTTTGCACCTTCAGTGATTGGCCCCTAATAATAATGATAATAATAAAGAACACTAACTGATGTCATTTAGATTTCCCCTATGATGTCATTTAACAAAATGTATGCTTAAAAATATCATCCTAGCTTGTTGGAAAAATGTACCTGTCGCAACATTTCTGCAAAATTATATTATGTCATTTCTGCAAAATGTTGTGCACGTTTCGCGACAGTTTCAAAGTGAAATGTCCAGTGAGTGACGCCAAAAGCCTGTTCAGTTTTACAATATAATAAACAGATATACGTGAATCTGGCAACGTTTCATTAAGTTGGTTTTTGTACGCATCACAGCAGTTTAGCATTGAAATGTCCTGGGAGTGGCGCCAAAAGGTCATTGGTCCGTCACATATTAAAATAACGTACACCTTCATTAAACCCTAAACATACCCGAAAAGCAAATGTGACACAAAAAAGCAATTGCTCAAGCAGCCATACCATTTTAGCTTGATTCTAGTCGTCTTTGAGCTGTTTTGTCTTGACTCGTGTTTCACTGGATCCGTACCAGATGAGCTACAGAGCTTAGTTTGTCAGAAAAGCCAAACACATGGAGCTGGTTATGTGATGCAAACTCCAAAGTATTCGTTGACAAATCATGCACTACGGTAAAAAGTGTTTTATGGTCATAAAATAACATTTTACAAAGAGCCACATTAAAATAAGTCTTTATTAATCCACAATCTGCCCCTAATCATAATTGTGTATGAAAAGGATTAAATGATCTTGCTGTTTTACTGCCTCTAGTGTTGATTTCTTTTAGAAACTGCAGCGATATGTATGTACGCTATTGGTACGTATTTCGCTTTTGCAGAAATTTTGCCACTTGCCCTGTGAATAATACAGCTTTCCTAAATTTTGTCAGATGGCCATGAATTTCACATTGTTCTATAATATGTTTTTCAGCTATTTTGTCTGTCCACAATTTTGATTTATGTCAAAAAAATACTTTTTCGTTCTTGACCGAAGTTTGTCCAATTATCACCAAATTGTAACTGTAAAATGAATTGCGGACACAAAAATGGGGACTTCTCGTCTTTGACCCAGATAAGAAGGAACATAATTGTGAGGATATTTTCCAACAGAAAATGGAGATTTGAGTCTGTATTTACAGTAACTAGCCTAATCAAGTTGTGTTTTTTTTTTTTAATCAGAGGCTTAATAACAGCCAGGTGAAAGTTTTTGGGACATATCCTAAACATAGATGCATTAATGATATTAAGAAGAGGATCTATGTCCTCTGGAAGCATCTCTTTCAGGTTAGTCGGTATAGGGTCTATACATGTTGTTGATTTTAATGATTTTTTTAACAAGTTTTAGAATTTAGACAATTCTCCCTCTCCTATCAATCTTGCAAGTAAAGGAGTTCATAAAGTCATTACTGCTATGCTCTTGGGAAATATCTGCACCTGTTGATGCTTTATTTATTTATTTTGTTAATTTAGTTACTTTATCAAATAAATACCTAGGGTTGTGTTTGTTTTCTTCTAAACGTAATATATTTGTTTTTTATTTGTTGAACATCGATTAAATTATTACCCTCAAATGGTTTCGGTAGATTTTTTTACTAGTTCAGGGAACAGATGGTCACCAACGGATGATATTGTACGGTTTATTTTAAGAGCGTGCTTGTCTGCCGCTTTAAATGCTCGAGGTCGTTACAGCATGATGGATTCTGATTGGCTGTCAGTGTTTTTTATCATTCATCAGCTGCTGGATAGAATCGTTTTGAAAGTGATTCCAACAATATCGTTTCTCTGTGCTGTTATCATTATAGCTGTGGTGTGAACTCTGCTATTCTTTAATATTGAGAACAATTTTTTAGAACTAAGTTTATAGTTATCGTCCTTGGTGTGAACAGGCCTTAAGTCTATGTGCCATATCACTAAGGAGAGCTGGGAACTGACTTACTCTCTTTAAACCCCTTTTTTTTTAAATTCTACTACTATTTCCCTCTTTCCATACCATCATGAAACATTGAGGGATTGATCTGTCCTCCATCAGGTTAGGTCTCTCTCCTTCCTACCAACACAAGTACCAGGGGTTCCATCATCATACATACTATTACTAGCCTATATGGGTGTTACCTTCAGCAGAAGAAAATAAGAGACACTTTTCATTTTTTATATACCACATATCCCACTTGAGATTTCTAACCATTGGTGGCAGGGTTACAACTGGGCAACAGTGTAGGCCTGCAGCTATTTATGTGATCAGTGATAGTCACTTCTTGATTTATTATTATTATTATATATTGTAAAAACACTAGTCTTTGTCACTTAAAACATCAAATGCTATTCTTGGCACCATTCATGTAATGCTTGACTGCATGTGAATGTGGAACTTAAAAACAAAAAAGGAACTGTGCCATTTTTAGGTCTGTGTGTTTGAGCATGACATATGAAACATTATCCATAATTAGATGCCATATTTCAGCTCACCGAGGATCCTGCACCTCTCTGGGTTCATGTGTCATTTCTTCTATAATTGCCTAAAGAATGTTTGTTTTTCCCAAAGTGAATACATCGGTATTAGATGTTCCTCTGTGCAAATTTATCTGTATTTGTGTTGCCAATTTTCAATTTTCCTGGATTCGCTGTTTTATGATTTTGTTATCAAAAGTGAAAGATGAAAATAATCAATCTTTTAAAATTTAATGAAATTAAATATTTAAATTTTTTGGCAAATAAAGTGCTTCACAACAGACTATTTATGTTTACTATTTAAATAAAAATAATTGTGATATTTCTTAAAAATAATGTTTTCATAAACTATTATTATTGTTATTATTACTTTGAGAAGTAAATTCTACTGTGCAATTCAATATATGTCTTTCATCATTTCATCAAGTTAAACCAAACCTTTATTGTAGCAGGTTGTAGTGAAGATCTTTGTAGATACTGTATATGACGATAGTTTTGCCAAACGAACTGGTGAAATGCTGGTGAAGTGACTCTGAAAACAGCTCACAAACTGAGACACGCACAACATGCAGACTTCAGATTTCTAAAGCAGTCTGTATAATATTCACACACTTGCCAATATCGCAATTGGTTTATGTGTAAAGCTCTACTTTTGCTCTATTCATCCAAATGTTTCCAAATTCTGTGACATTTAGCATTACACAGTCAATTCCATGGATTCCAGGATCAGGCTAACAACACAGTATTGTTGAGCAACTCCGATACTTAACCAAATATTATAAATCACAGAAAAACAACGACTACTGATTTGTGGAGCTATTTATACATTTTGGGACACTTCAAAGGTGAAGCGCACAAGTGCAGACATCCTAATCATGTGTTCACATCCTTCAGCAGGGCCACATGGTCATGTGTGTGTTATCTCTCATGGTTGTCCTTGTGTTTGACAGGGTCGACATGTGAAAACAGGACAGCTGGCAGCCATCAAGGTCATGGACGTGACAGAGGTATGAGCTTCTTCACCTTTAGAAGAGAGAGAAACAGTTTGTGTCTTCAGCTGAAGAATGAAGAATTTTTACATTTATTTATTGCTAAAATGTAAGAATTTGTCATGAAAGATGACATAAACATTTAATAAGGTATTCCCTGGAAATCAATTTAAGGTGGCAAATATCACAAATATGCTGATTTAAAGGGGACCTATTATGCAAAATTCACTTTTATAAGGTGTTTGAACACAGATGCGTGTCTGCGGTGTGTGAGAATAACAAGCCTATAATGGTAAAAATCCACTCACTCATTTTTTTTTATAATTCCCATACATCAAAAGCAGTCTCTTCAAATGAGCTGATTCAGATTCCCCCTACAATGACGTCATCATAAGGGAGAAGCTCCGCCCACAGCCGGTGACGATCTGCTCTATTAGCATAGACACACACACAGCCCTGAGTGAGACGCACAGAGTTTCTGTATCCTCGCTGTAGCAGCTGGAGTTGTACGATGTCTGTACTAAAGAGGCATTACAAGTGGGATGTACCAATGCACATAAGAGTCTCTATACCCGTCTTTTCACCTTTATTGCAATACAGTACAACACAAATGCAATAGCATGTCATAAAAGCAAGAAGACAGCATAAGTTATAACCGTAATTAAACTAAACTGTTCTGTCTGCATGCAGCATATATACTCTGGCTCTGTAGGCATCTTACAACAGTCCCCCTACGAGAACCTGTACAGAGATTTATAGATTACCATGATGGAACATGCTAATCGATGACTTGAAGATAGTTAACTCCACATCAACTGCATAAATTGTCACTTCTTCTTGAATCTCTCCATCATTGTCCGACTCCGGTTCAAACATATAACGCCTCTACCGACAGTTTCTGACATTTTCAGTGGGTGAGATTGTGCTGTTTTGTTGTTGCCGGTATGCTGGAGCACGAGCTCTTCAAGCTCCGCCCTCTTCTTGAAATGGGGCCGGGAGCACCAACTCATTTGCATCTAAAGGGACACACAAAAACGGCAATTTTAACATGCTATAAAAATGATCTGTGGGGTGTTTTAAGCTAAAACCTCACATAAACACTGGGGACATCAGAGACTTATTTTAAAGGGATACTTCAGGATTTAGCATTAAGCTTTGTATTAGTAGAAAACCTGTAGTATTTTCGAATTACCATGCTTTCCACCCTCATATCCTCCTGAGATGAGAGATTTATGTATTTTTTGTCTGGAAAAAATCCAGACAAACTATGTGTACAGAATGTACACATAGTGTCGGCCATCTTTTTTTGGAAGCTAAGCTAGCAGGCTCTTGTTCTGTGGAGAAAGCTGAGTAGTAGGGGTTACCATCCTCTTTTTCCCGGACATGTCCGGCCGTCGATGCTTTTCCGGATTCAGCTTTTGCTTTCTGCAGTCGCCTCATTGTTTACATGCACACCTTTTGTTTCAATCTAACTGAATTCATTACGATTGGTGAATCTGAATGTAGTGTTTACATGAACGCTAAACAAGTGATCGGTTGATGTGCATTTTAACATTGCTAAGAAAATTCCCGCTCCTCCGTGAGAGATACGAGACCGGTGCGACTCACAGGTGTCGCTCATCGGTAATCTGCCACCGGCCTTGCGCCGTTCTCCCGCGGCCCTTGCCTCGTCCTGCTCGCCACAGTAAACATAATGAATGGCGACTGTAGAACGCAAAAGCAGAATCCCGGACATTTTGGGCGATCTCGGAACACGTTTTCGGGCAGACTTATCACGGAGACTCACTAGTAGCCTAGACTTGTTGTTTAACTAACTACTGCGCTCTGTTACCGGTAGGCGTGGCCTCCTAGGGCAGCGAAGCAAGTGCATTCTGGGAGTTGTTGTCTTTCATCCACATAAGCCAAAAATACATTTTCTGGCTTTTCTCAGTCTAGAAAGCTCCAAATTCAAAAATAATTTCTCATTTCTTCTACATAAATGACCCATTTTAAATACACATTCATCTTTCCAGAGGTGAAGTATCCCTTTAAACCTTGTAAAAAAAAGGGGGCATAATAGGTCCCCTTTAAGTAAGTAAGAGCTAATCGAACACTGATGAGAATATTGATTCTGAATTATTATAATCAGAAATATTGATTTTTTATTTTATTTTTTATGTACATTGACCAAGACATTTATGCACAAGGACAAGAACATAACCAGGTTTAATGTCGAGCCCTGCTGAAAACATTATTTATTTGACATTTCTGTTATCTTGCATTGTAACACAAGCTTTTACGCTTGGGATTCCCAGATGTTAAGAGTTAAAACCCCCCATATAGAACTTTGCTCTTAAATGGATATATTTTCTGACCAGTGTTTTACTTAATCTCGCTCCACTTATGATCTGAACACATGAATGCTGGAGTTTAGCTTTTATTGCGCTTGCAATATTTTGGTCAAATGAAAGTTTCATGCCAGTATGTGTTCTTTTAAAAGGGTGACAAGTGGTTTTTCTACCACTAAATATAGATTGTGGTTGCTGAATAAATGCACTCATGCAACCATTGTTTAAAAAATGTTTTTATTTGGAATTGTTGGAGTTGAAGGTGAAGTATGTATATAAGATTTTTTTATGTTAAAATATATTACTATAATATACCATTATTACCAAATTGTAAACTGAGCCTCCCAGGCACCATCAAAACACTGATGGTGTTCTGCTCATATCTGTCAGTCTCTTTCCAGCCCAACCTATAGTGAGAGTTTAGGGTGTGTCTACTGTAACAGGAGGAGCCAGAGAGTGTTTAACCAGTGTGGGACCATGACTGATGCATTGCATGAGAAAAGGCATTCAGCTTCAGTTACAGAACTACGAGCCAGATTTCGATCTTCAAAGATTAAACGGGTCATGAACTTGTTAACGCAAAGCATTGAGCAAAGCATTTGGGAGAACCTTCTACATTTACCTTATTTTTTCCAGTTCATAATAGAGAGTTTGTTAATGTGTACGATGAACATAATAAATATTTGACTATGACAAGAGGAGAACTTTCTCTTTCAAACAACAGTGATTCATAGTGGTTCTGGTTCACATCATCTCTTAAAAAGAACAAACAAACACTTACAGTAACCAAGTAGTTCATTCGACTTTTCTGTGTGAGGAACAGACTGAAATGTAATAAATTATTCCCTGATAATCCTCCACCATAAATGGAATATTCAGCATTTATTGATGCATTGCCATTGTGCCAGATTTTATGTCAGCGACATTTGGCTCTAGCAAGAACCAATGGCATTTGGTGTAATGACATACAGTAAAACAAAAATGTTTTTTTGGCCAAGAGAAAGATCTGTGGATAACGACATTTGTCAAAATGCTTAAAGATCATGGTTTAATTGATGATGTCAATTGATGTGTCTGATACAGGGTATATAATCTAATTAATGAATCATTAATTAATTCATTAATTATTCATAATATCACAAGCAGACAGTCTGCCTGACCACTACACAACAGCTAAACTCATTACACAAGGCAACACGTCTGTTTGATTGTTTGCATAGATTTCATTTCTGTTACTTGACCGTGGATTTAGTGCATTAATATACAGATTTTAGTCAGTACAAGTTTTTTTTTTTTTTTTCTCAATATGAGTCAGTTATGAAGCTTTCAGTGAAAGACTCTGCTCTCCCCATCACAGAAATGCTGTTTCCTGGTTCCCTTTCCGTCTTGCACTATCTGCCATGGGAGATAACAGAGCAACGTAGTGGTCATTTGAACCCCAGGCTCCAGATTTCCTTTCCCCTGGCCATCACTTTCACACACACCTCTCCTGTCTTTCCTCTTGGGAAAGAACTGTGAAAGCAGCCTTTACATATAAATGCTTATGTTTGGAGTGCTATTTTATAAAGGGAGTCTCAATATATTGGTCTCCATTACTAAGTAATGACGTTTTTAACAGGCATTGTTATTCTTGCTGTCGTTATTTAAGTTGTCTCATGGTGAAAGAGATCAAATGAAAATTGACAAATGTATTTTGTCTCCCGCAGGACGAGGAGGATGAAATCAAACTGGAGATTAACATGTTGAAAACTCATTCCCATCACAGGAACATAGCCACGTATTATGGTGCTTTTGTTAAGAAAAGTCCTGCCGGTCAGGATGACCAGCTTTGGGTGAGTATCTACTGAACCCAAATAAACAATCAACCTGGTTTCCTCTAGAGGCTCTTAACTGCTTGTGTATAGTCTCTCACATTACTAGAAGAGCCAGAGTTTGTGCTTTCTGAGGTTACAGAGATATCTTCCAAAAACGGTCCCTGTAGCAATGTTAAAGGCTCAGGGAAAAAGGAGGCGGGAACCGGCGAACATAAATTTATTCACAAAATAAACATAAATAGGTGGAGCTCCTTTTATCCTTCCGGAGCTCTTCTGTGGGACTTTAGACCGGTGTGGTGTGACTTTAATTTTCACTCGCGCCACCGACCTCGCTCCGTTCCCGCGGCTCTCGGCCCTGCCCTGCTTCCCACATACCCGGTTGGCTGTGCGTTTTGGGATCTGGTTCAGCCATCCAGTCCTCCACCAGCTGGTTGAATCCTTCATGGTGCCTGGCGGCTACACTGGATTCCCTAGGTGAACGGCCTTGTACTTCCCCCGTCCTCTGAAACATACTGTATATTTATATTTGGGTCAAGCATCTTGTCTAAAGCAGATCCCACACCTAAAGAGATTTTTCATTCACACCTAGATCCCAGTGGTGGCGTAATCTAGCTTTGTTTTCTAATGCTGTTGTTTCCCCACACGATCGAATGGCAACAGCAATAATGGTTGGGAGCCGCACTTTTCTTGCTCTCTGGACACGTTTTACACTGATACTTAGTTTAGCAAATCTATATAGCAAATCTCAACCGCTTGATTGCTTGTATCATTGCGAAATGTAAACTATATTATCGCATGAAGATATTAATATATATAATATTACGATTTTCTGTAATCCTATACAAATATATTTGTTTACAAACTTAAAATTTCCTCCAAGTAATGTTCAATACTTTGCAGTGTAAATTTACAGCAGTATGTCTGTGTGAGCCTTTTGTACAACATGTTTGGCCGCTAACCTCCCACAGTTCCTCTGCCGTTACGATACCGCTAAAAGAGTTCAGACGATTAGAAGGGGCATTAGTGTCTGCAATGGGAAAGGGCCTTTTACATTCTTTCCCTCCGCAGTCCATATCTTCAGGGCCTTCAAGGGTGTGTGTTGACGTTTAACTGAAGGACTTTACCATCCTGATTAAGCTACTGAGATAAATAACAACGTAGATAACCAGTCTAGACGTCTGTGCTGTCACACTCTTGTTAGACTGATGTTAAAGTGTTTTCTGTGTGTGTCTTGGCCTTCAGCTGGTGATGGAGTACTGTGGCGCAGGGTCGGTCACAGACCTGCTGAAGAAGACCAAAGGAAACTGCCTTAAAGAGGACTGGATCGCTTACATTTGTAGAGAGGTTCTGAGAGTGAGTGATCACTGCTAAAGATTATTGATTGTATACATTAAGACATTTAGGTGGTGGGAAAAACCTTGTGAGGAGGCAGACTCGGCTGGCAGAGCCTTTCCTCCTCTGGCATTACAGTGAGTGGAGTATATATGCTAGAGTAAATATAATCTAGTACCTCCTGCATGCAAAACAAGTCATGTGTTCATTGAATGAATGAAATGATTCAATTTTTAGTATGTTTGTAAGGCTCATTTTAAACTGTAAGGATCATAATTTTTTTTTATAGTCTTTCCTTCGTGTTACATAAGTCAGTCTATCCATGAAAATAGTCAGCTTACACTTAGCACTGTCACTGATATGACCAAATGCAGATTTCCTTTGATGCGTATTGTACCCAGAAAGATAAAAACCAGTTGCATTTAATCATTGGATAAAGTCTGCTCTTCATTTAGTGCATAAAAGTTTATGTGGATAACATAAAACATCAATAAATAGCCCCCCCCCCCCCCCCCACACACACACACACACACATTATTTCATCCACATTACTTGTATACATGCTCTAATCATTGTCAACCATAAGAAAGTTTATCTTATAACTGTAAAAATAACACTTCATTTAACATAACTCCTCTGTAATTTGAGCTGAAAAGCTGTTAATTTGTAGTCATTTTCGTCAACATAACAGAAAACTGTTTTTTAATTAATCAATTAATTTTATTTTTAAGAAAAGATTGGGCAAGTTGAAATGAATTTTTATGGTGACCAACACAAATGCTGTCTACTGAGCTTAACCCGAAATATTCCTTTAATTCCACAATGAAATTGTCCAATAACAGGTAGCTCATGCAATAAGGTAGTGTTTGGCTGGTCACAAGTCTGCTCCTCATCAGGTGACTCGCTCTCCTTTCAAATCAACATCTCTAATGCTATGTCTGGGGTCTTCGTCACAATATTATTCATTTCTTTGTGTAAAACATTTCTTTTCTATGAAGCAAAATTGACATTGCGCTAAGCTACATGGTGACGTCACGGCAGCACACGTCACACCACTTTACACACTCTCATGGACCACCAATTATTGAACAACTTCAAACTGAAACAAAGTGCATTAAAAAGTAAACATTTTCACTAAAGCCATGCACATTATTAAAGTAAAGAAAGAAAGAAAGAAAAAAATTAAGAAAAGTGAAACAGCTACATTTATTTAAACATAGAAAAGGAGTATTACTATCTGGTGTGGGTATTTTTCTGTGATGTGTGTAAACACTGATTTGCTACTCTTTGTGTTCTCAGGGTCTGTTACACTTGCACTCACATCATGTCATTCATCGAGACATTAAAGGACAAAACGTGCTGCTCACGGAGAACGCTGAGATTAAACTCGGTAAGAATGGAGACGAACCATTACCAGCATTGAACTCTTGAGATATTATATAATATGAGAAACAATGCCCAGTCACATGACAAAAACTGTAAGTGCTGGTACAGTATATTATATGGCTGAAGACATTGTTGAATTCCTGTGTTGTCAGTGGATTTTGGTGTCAGTGCTCAGTTAGACAGGACGATTGGCAGAAGGAACACATTCATCGGGACTCCATATTGGATGGCGCCAGAGGTGATCGCGTGTGATGAGAATCCTGACTCGACGTATGACTATAGGGTAAGTCCATCGACTGAGATCCATTTAAGATACTTATTTTGTCATAAACATTTCAACATTTGTTAACTAGAAATTAGCAACAAAAAAAAGGGAATAATTTACTGTCTATTGGCAAAGCGAAATATCAGTATATTGTAGTACTATACATGAGTGGTTGAATATGTTCCTGAAATACATTGCATGTTTTTAGAGTGATGTGTGGTCTCTGGGTATCACAGCGTTGGAGATGGCAGAGGGAGCGCCACGTGAGTTCACACGATTCCTAGGCATATTCCGAAAAAGAAAGAAAAAACACTTTTATATAACTATACAAGTTGCATATGCTTTAATGTTTCTTTATGTTTTCCACATTTCTCTACAGCCTTGTGTGATATGCATCCAATGAGAGCGCTGTTTCTCATTCCACGAAACCCTCCTCCCAAACTAAAGTCTAAGAAATGGTAAGATTACTTTCCTTTATTATAGAGAGCGTTGTGACACGTGCCAGCTAGAATGTCTTCAATAGAATTTCCAGTGAGATCTCACACAGTAGTTTTGGTTTACACTGGTATTGTTAGTTCTAGTAAAGGATTATTTTGCTTATTTAACAGCATAGGCATAATTTACATGTCCCCACCACTTCTCGCAGCATGAATATATCTAAAAGAAAGGAGGCATCTATAGCTGACTAGTAGAGTATTAATTTCATTCATTTGTGTTAAATAAAAGGTGATCATGTGCTGGAATGTGTTGTTTTTGAGTGTTCGTTGCCACTGTGGCTTCACGCATTTGGATCATTTCACACAGATGGATCAAAAGTACGATATTAATGTGCATAATATAATACTTTTTACTCCACTACATTTTATAAAAACATGTCGGTCCTCATTATTTTGAACTGAAGAAATCGTCACTAGCTCGAGATGCGATAACACCGTCCAATTCGTGAACAGGCTGATTCTTTTCAACTGACCTGTTAGATCGATTCGCAAATCGCACTAAACGATTCATTTGTGAATTGGACCGATCCGATTGCATGTGTTCTAGAGTCAACCGTTCACTGATTCCAATCAACAGTCGGCTACGGTAGAAACATGACGTCACAATATGTCGACCTTCATAGAAGGGGGTGCCCGCGGTTATGTAGATATAAATGTCTCATTCTAAGGTAATAAAAACATAACGGTTCATTGATTAAGGTCTTTATACACCACTGAACACATAGTTATGGATCTTATATTGCATTTCTGTCAATAGATCCTCAGAAAAATTACACATTGCACCTTTAAAAACTAATCAGAACATTAAAATAATGCAAATTATTGCCCATGCATCTTTCCCGCTTCCGTAGCAGATTCAAATGATATAAAACTAGTATGTTTGCATAGCGTTCTTCTTAAAATGTAACATTTTTCCCTATGTATTATATTGTATGCTTATATTTGTCAACACACATTTTGTTTTTCCTCACTTCTATGTACTAAATGGTATACTTAGTTATTTTCACTTGTTTGCACATTTTAATTATGAGTAATTATCAATAGTAGTTATCAGTGAATAACAAGGATTGTTAATAAAATAACAAGTTTTCTTGCTGGCAGATCAATAAAGTGTCTGCATAATCTTCCTTATTGACTAGTGCTGGCTATTTGAAATGTATTATTATTCATAATGATGTCAGACTGATCTGTTACCTATTTAAGCTATGTAAATAGGTAACAGATTTACATAGTATATACTAAAATATACTAAAGTTCTGTGTTTAGTATATTTCTTCTCCCTTCCCCCACATATTTTGAGCAGTAGGATAGAGCAAAATAAACATTTATCAATCAGTACTTAAAGTAAGTACATTAAAAGTCAAGTACCTTTGTACATTTACTCGAGTAAAATTGAAAGTAATATTTTAACAGGGTATCTGTAGTTTTACTCAAGTACTTGATTTACTGTATGTACTTTGTCCACCACTGGTATTTGAAGAGTATTTAATAGCATTTAGCAAATGTACTGTCCCACTGAAGACATGTATGCAGTAAATCTGTTTTTTATTGCTCCTCTAAGGTCTAAAAAGTTTCTGACATTTGTGGACAGTTGTCTAGTGAAGAACTACCTCCACAGACCGTCCACTGAGACCCTCTTACGCCATTCCTTCATTAAAGACCTTCCCAATGAACGACAAGTACGCATCACGCTCAAAGATCATCTGGACAGAACCAGGAAGAGGAGACGAGAGAAAGGTACGAGACACACAGTGACGTGTTGATGTGCTTATGGTGTATTCATTTAGCCCGAATAGACATTCTGATTTACACTGGCGGGGTCCTCGAATATTTAGTCGTTTTAATATGATTTCAGGCTACACGTTCTTTCACTTTCCAACTTCTGGGATTTTTTACAGATGCCTGAAATGACAGTGTTATTAAAAGCAGTTTTATTGAATTGCAATGTTGGCCTAATTTGTCTGAAGTTCTGTTTGTGACCAATCTTAACAGAGGGAACAGAATATGAATACAGTGGAAGTGAAGATGAAGAAGATGCCATAAATGAAGATGAAGGTGAACCCAGGTATGTCATAATTCACATTTCTGAAAATAAAATTACACCAATCTATATATTACACTTTCTGGAAGGAGGAGATGGGCTAGAAATAAAAAGGGCCATTACAGAAGCACAGCAACTGATTTCATTTTGATGAAAGATTAAAAAGACAAACTAGACTCTTTTCCACCATCAGGTTTGGCTAATACCAACTAATGAAAAATGTGACAACATTAATGCTGTATGTGTATGTTTGTGAGTGTGTGTGCATCAGCATTAGTGTTGTCACAATACACAATAAAATTGTTATATAAAATATATTTCTGTGATAGCATTTACACACACATCTAGGAGTGGGTAATATGACCAAAATCAAATTTTACGATATGGTATCACAATAAAGATAAATATCATAATATAGTTTTTTTTGTTATTAAAAATAAGAACAAAGAAGCAAATTACAATATAACAATTTTGAATGAAACGAATGAAGTTTTTCCGGTAGAAAAGGTTTATTTAACATAGTTAGAAATAGTACAGAAATTGAATAATCAAATGTAAAAAAAAAAAACTGCATAGTCTTCACTGTATGAGTTAAATATAAATATATTCTTATTAAACCTACGAAGGTTATTCAGTCAAGAGCGGTAAGTTATTTTCTGTTTTGTTTGATTAACATTAAAGGGGTCATGACATGGATTTTGTTATTATTTAAATGTTTCTTGAGGTTCATTTGCCAGCAGCCATATCACCCTGTAGCCCAAGACTGGTTGCTCACTGAAGCTAAGCAGGGCTGAGGCTGGTCAGTACCTGGATGGGAGACCTCCTGAGAAAACCAGGTTTCTGCTGGAAGAGGTGTTAGTGAGGCCAGTGGGGGGTGCTCACCCTGTGGTCTGTGTGGGTCCTAACGCCCCAGTTTAGTGACGGGGACAGGGACACTATACTGTCAAACAGCACCGTCCTTCGGATGAGACGTTAAACCGAGGTCTTGACTCTCTGTGGTCATTAGAAATCCCAAGGATGTCCTTCGGAAAAAAGAGTAGGGGTGTAACCCCGGCATCCTGGCCAAATTTGCCCTTTGGCCTCTGTCCATCATGGCCTCCTAATCATCCCCATATATATATACCAATTGGCTTCATCACTCTGTCTCCTCTCCACCAGTAAGCTGGTGTGTGGTGGGCGTTCTGGCGCACTATGGCTGCCGTCGCATCATCCAGGTGGATGCTGCACATTGGTGGTGCTTGAGGAGATTCCCCCCTTCCATGTAAAGCACTTTGAGTATCCAGAAAAGTGCTATATAAATGTAACGAATTATTAATTATTATTCACTTACAATGGTAATAAAGTGTTTTGCACACACACACAAATAAAAAAAGAGAAGAGTCCGCTGTCATTATACAGTACGAGAGCGGCCTCTAGAGGCCAAATAAAAACCATCACTGACACCTCATGGAGTTTGTTTTGACACGTGCGCTGCACAGAGCGGGACACTTCAGTTCAGATGCAGATTTAAAACAGACAATGAAACAGTATGTTATACTGTACATATTTTCATATCAAAGTAACTAATTTGTTGTTTAGATGCTGCATTAGTGGAGAACAGCAGTATGCTTGCCGTCGAGGCTGAGAGGATGCTAACATTAGTACCTCAAGCGGTTAAAAGAATGTGACAAAAATAAACGGAAATCCGAACCAAATGTTTAATGTCACGATTGTTACCATCTGTTTGCATTAGTTTATATCTATTTGATTTCGCTTTTATGCATTCGTTATACAGTGAAGTTGCATATTTAAAGCTAGATACATGTGAAAGCAAACTGTTTCGTCATGCAGCCGACAGAAACATATAAAAAGAATCAGAAATGCATTCAGCCTGCTCAGAACTGTTTGGCCTGATGGCAAAAAAAAAGATTTATTTTCTTTAGAATAACATGCACTGTTGAAGCGTTGATAATAAGACCAGAAAACTGCATTAGGAAAGTAAATATCAGTTAGGATTTTATGTTGACTTGAGAGGTGAGATTTGGATTAGTGAACTATTATAGATCACTAAATGATAACTAAATGGCATCATCAGCAAGCAGCTCAATGAAGTTTGTTGCCACGATGACCAAAAAGTAGATAAAAATAAATCAATGAAATTGTAATGTAGCCATAAATTGCCTTGTGACCCATTAAAATGGCTCGGGTCAGTGAGTGTGTCACCCCTCGGGTTAATGTGCTCTGTCAGGAGTCTCCACATGGCAGATGGCATGAAAACCTGACAGCCCTGCATGACGCGGTGTACAAATGTTGGTTTTTAGCATCGCCCTGGTCTTAGGTTTGGTGGTTTCTCACATCATTTGCTTTGTGCTCATATAGCTCTATAGTGAATCTTCCTGGAGAGTCCATGTTAAGACGAGAGTTCCTGCGTCTGCAGCAGGAGACAAACTCACAAACACAACTACTCCAGCAAGTACATAATCAAGACAACTACAAGAGACAACTGCTCGCGGACCGACAGAAGAGAATCCAACAACAGCAGGAGGAAAGACGACGCCTCGAAGATGTAAGAATAAATGTTTTATTTTATTTTTTTAGATTGTGTAATGAGGGCATGTGCACATTTCAGAGAAAAATGTTTCACCATGCAGATGGAGAGTGACACACTTTGTTTTACTCTACCTGGCTTTGTTACAAGTTTAGTGTTTGTTTGCTTAGGATTTTCAGTGTCCTTTCAAGCGTTTGACATTCATGTCCAGTCAGTTGTAGCATGGTTTACTAGAAGTTCCCCGTCTTTCATTCTGCCTAAATCTAAATCTTTTAAATCTGTATGTTAGAGGTCAAACGTTTGGACACGTTTGAGTGAATTTGTTTCTCAAGATTTGAATAACCCTTTGGCCTGAGTTTCTCCGTGACATTTCTTTTGTAGGCGAATCAAAATTGTGCCAACATACAAATCTCTTTACACTCCTATCATTTTCATTTCATAAGTTGAAACAGAAATGAAGGAATAGCTGAGTTCAGAGTTCATACTCGTAAACTCCTTCAATGCCATATAAACAGCACCCCAGGATGCACCTTGTTACATTTGAAGGGCCCTATCATACACCCAGTGCAATGCAGCGCCATGATGTGCAACGCAAGTGTTTTTCGCTAGTGTCAGCCCGACGCAGTTATCATTTTCACGTCCTGCGCCCATTTGTCCCATTTGTGCGCCCATGGGCTGCTGGTCTGAAAACCTGGTGTTTTCGGGCGCATTGTTGGCGCGTTGCTATTTTGAGGCAACTGAAATAGACTGAGCCATTGACCAACTGAAACCTGGTCTAAAGTCAATGGCGCAGTATTTTATTTGTTATTTAAAGAGCGCATTAGTAATATGTGCCTATAGGCGGGTACACAATGCACAAACACTTTGTCCAGTAGATGGTCTGCTGCTTTAACCTCGCGCACGAGCAGATCCGTTTCCTCTCTTGAGAAGCGTTCAGTTTTTTCGCTCCATGGAAATAGCGAATCCGCCATGGTGCGAGCTCAACTGGCTTTTAAAGGGAATGGGAGGTGAGACTCTGATTTGTTTATTGCGCGTTACGCCCAAAACACACCCATTACTCATTAAGAGAATAGGGACAACCCTTTTAAACCATGCGCTGAGTGCGCCGACCATTTTTTCCCGTCGTTAAACTAGCAAAAGTGGATTCGGACGCCCTAATTCACTTGCGCCGTGCGCTTTAGACCATGTGCTTAGATACTTAAAATAGGGCCTGAAAGCTGGAATCTAGACAAAAGATGAAGCTGAAATAGACCATTTGTGTTATTTCTTTACTATTATTGTTCAATGTAGAAAATAGAAAACAAATAATAAGTCAGTTCAAAGCCAATGTGTTTGTGTTTTGAAAGCACCAGGAAAGGCTGTTACACGAGACCGGACTCCAGTGGCCAGAGCTTCAGGAGATGTTATGGCAAGAAGAGACTGATGTCACCGAGAAAAGCAAAAGAAATCACAAGAAACAGGTTAGAGTTTATTTTTCCTCTTCATTAGAATGTTTTGTCAAACAGTCCCTACAATGAATGGATTCTGATGGACTGTAGTTTTTTTAAATTACATTTAACAGTAAAACTCAAGGTCAGGTCAGTTGATTTTCTCACTGCCTTGGAGTAACGTTAACTCTTGTCAAATTAACAGAAATCATTAATGAATGGTCAATGCAACAAGTCAGTTGGTGGCGGATTAGACATTATTGGTCTGTGAGTTCATACAGGAATGTTTTATGTTATGGGTTTTTATCTCTCCTCACATTCAACTTTTAACTCAGTTTGTGCTTTTTAGGCAAGGTAAGCATGTGAAGTTTATTTATAGGCTATAGCTCATTTCCCACACGCCACTAATTCAGTTTAGCTTTAAACTCATTTAGGCTTCCTGTTTATAATAAATGTTGTTTATAATGAATGGCACTATAATTAGTTTATTTTATACTTACATTTTTCATTCTTGTTCTGTATACCATTACATTTGAGGGATTCTTGTCGAGTGAGGGGAACTAAAATACATGAATATAGTGTTTAAAATGTTAGTTTTTTTACCAGTATTTTACATTATTTCTGAATGTAATAATTAAATGTGTGTGTGTGTGTGTGTTTTCTTTTCTCAACAATACAATATGACCTGGTGCGACTTATTTTCCAGAAAATATGTCAATTCAACATTTTAAATACGTGTTCAAAACCTTATTTTCCTTCATGCTCTCTTGTTCTTTAATGCCACTGTTGTAAATGTTAACCTCAAACCTCACTGCTGCTTTTCTGGTATAATGTTCTGCTGTTTGTCTTTTATTATCATTGGATTTCAGCTCAAAGACAGTGAACATCACAGGACTGATGTTGAATCGTTGTCTCTAAGTCTCTTTGCTGAGCAGGTAAATGCCTTCTTTAATACTGAACAGTTTAAACACAACTGCTGTCTGATAATGCTTGTTTGTCACTGAAGATGTTAAATGCATGTTCCATCGACTGATTATGCATGCTTGAAATTTTACTCTGAGACAGACAGTCTGCCAAACAGCTGTTTTTTGCAAATCATATATCTGAGTTAAATCTAGTAATGGGTCGATGACAAATAAAGCTTCTAAGAATAAGGCATTTGTAAAAAAAATCTTTTCAAAATGGATGTAATGCATATTTTGAGTCAGGACCAACGTTCCAATAGTTAAATAACATTTCAAAGTGTATAAATTCATTTTTTCAGGTGGTACAACCAAATATTTGTGTGTAAGCAAACTCCTTAGAGTGTCTGCAGTGCCTATCACATTATTAATATATGTGGCAGGCCTTAATAATTTAATATATTTGGCATCCGATTTTACTTTTAAATACATAAGTGTAATTATACAAGTATACAAATGCACCTGATGAATATCAGTATGAATAAATAAATCACAAAATTTCAAAAACAGAAAATCACAACATCATATTCTAGGAACTGGAAAAGGCTACAGTGCAATAGATTGGTTAGATACACTTTAATCAGTTGTGATTGAATAAAATTGCAGCATGAAAATAAATTATTTTATTTATTTTCTTCATATAGGGCATTCATTGCAGTTGCACCACCTGACTTTTGCAGCAAATGTTTACATGGCTTCTTATTGGATGCCTGTATTAGCTTTTGCCTATGCTAGCTGGCAGGAATTTATGGAATGACGACATCATATTCATGTTCGCGTTTTTGTTGTTTACGCAGAGATTTAAAACCTTTTTGCGAAAAGTTTGCGTTTTCAGGCACCCAAAACGCTGTTGTCGTGTAAACGAATGGCCAAAACGCATAAAAAGTTGTACGTTTTTAGTTGAAAATGGTGCTGTGTAAATGAAAACGGTCATATGTAAACAGTCCCTTAGTCTGTTCATTTGTGCGGATGGTTGCGCCACCTGACATTTTGGGGATTTAAGATACCAAAACATAAAATAATATTTAATATTTGAATGTACTGAAAATGTATTCAAACTAAATAGGTTTTATGGAATAAAGTGATGCATGTCAAAAATGTATCAAATTATTTTACAAGAAAATAATGCACGTCATGCGTTTCCCAAAAGCATCATAAGCCAAAGTAGATCGTAGAACCATTGCCACCAATTGTCTCTATGATCAATTTTGCTCGCAATTCTTTTGAGAATCACAGCTCAAGTCAGATTTGAAGTTTCTCAGCACTGGTTAATGGTTGGTTAATGGCAGCAAATATAATTGTTTTAGTGAGCACTAAGCTATAAATTTGACTGTTGTTCCAGGCAAAAACATTTTACTCCACAATAACACATTTCAACTGAAATCAGTATTTCATGTCCATTCAGTATGCGTGACATTTCTTGTCATGTAATGAGCAGCTGCACTTCTTTTTGGGGTCCTGATCACCCCGTCAGGGTTAGTTTTGTGATAATGTCATGCTGTACATCACCCCTGTCTTAGTGTTGTGTGTTAATTGTGTGTTTGTGGGCCATATCATCAGGCTCAGGGCAGAAAACCCCTCCGCACGCTTCCCAGAGATCAGTCACAGCTGCTATTGCTCCAGCACGACCACGGACTCCAGCAGAAGAGGACTAGAGACACCTCACCACACGATGGGGTAAAACATCGTCCAGTTTGATGGTGTATCATGAGATTTCTGTCAACATTAGTTTATATAACAATGCATTATGGTATTTTGATTGTCCTGTTTGGATGGCCTGGCCTCTATTTTGTGATGACATTGTGAAACTCTGACTCTCAGCTGGCAGGTAAACTGGAATCCCTCGACACCCATCTTGTCAATCTGAATAATTTAGCTGTCAGGATTCCTCATGTTCAGTCACGTCTGGGATCAGGAAGCAACTCCAGTCCTTGTACTCCAGCGCTCCAGAGAGCCGCCAAACAGCCGGTACGACATCACAAGCTTGACAACTGTCCCTGAATCTGCTCTTAAACAATCAAATTGTCAGTTATCACTTGCAATAAAAGATTGATGTTCTACGACAACGTACTGTAGCTTTCAGGATGCAGAATTTCCTCCCCAAGAAGTACTGTAGGAAGAATATAATTAATCCTCAACAGTAAAATGTGAAGTCTAAAGAATCCCCTCATTACAAACGAGAGGCTGCTAAAGTGTATTCCTGATCAGTCTGAATTTGAGTGGCACTTTTTTATCACGGTTTGCTTAATGAATCTGTACCAGTGTAATGCAGACTGTCATTGAAGGATAGGGCAGTAAAAACTAGCTAAATTGTCAGCACAGCAAAGCGCTGTTACTCATTTCACAAGTCAGATGTTGGAGACAAGGGGTTGCACAGAGACTAGTCGACTTTAATGCTCTGCCGCTTGACGTCGACTAGTCTCTGATCTTGGCCTATAGAGGGGGCAGCAGGTCCATTCTTATGCTCCGTTTAAAGTTTAAATGACAAATAAATGCATACTCCAAGAGCGCTCCACACGATATGTTTGATTGTACCATTCGGATGCTTAAAATCGAATGCACATTTTAAACAGTGCATTGTACACGTAAGTTAATCGTGCTTCTGTACTAATGCTCTGCTGCATTGTAACGTACATGGCATGCATACAGTCAGTAGCTCGCAGAGTGCAGATCGTGCACACAGAAACATTCAGTAGTGCAGAAATGTTCTATGATTTAACAATGAAATAGCTTCGAAACAGCTTCAAGAAGTTCTAGCATATATTTCTTAGCAACCAAAACCCACAGCTTCACTAGTGGAGAGATTCTGCCAGGTAGAATTAATTCACACGCAATTGCTCTCTCACTAATGCATTCATATAAATCTTTACTGTGCTATTTTATCTGTATCTGATTTAGATCGAGCAGAAATCTGTGAGAAATGTAACGACCCAAAGACAAAAGAACTGATTATAATAAGCTGTTATGTAGGAGCAATAGCCTTGTGAGCAGAGCTGTGTCATACGCCATAGCTGTGCACAAGGCAACCCGCGTTCGAGTCTCTGCTCGAGGTTCAGGCTTATTTGTTCATTAATGACATCATCAGCAACTATGACAGCAACTAGTCGACTCAACTTTAAAAACGTAAATGTTGACTCCGAAAAAAATCCAAAGTCTTTCAACCCCTATTGGAGACAATTTACAGGTGAAACTCGAAAAATTTGAATATCATACAAAAGTTCATTTATTTCAGTAATTCAACTTAAAAGGTGAAACTAATATATTATATAGACTCGTTACATGCAAAGAGAGATACTTCAAGCCTTTATTTGTTATAATTCTGATGATTATGGCTTATTTATTTGTTTATTTGAATAGGGACAAGTATGTTACATAAGCTCATGTTCCATACTACAACATTAGCCGAGGCTAATTCTCAATGTTAGTCCCTAGTGGGCCTTTACATAAAATGAAACAATACATAGTTAAAATAAACATAATAATACAGTATAACACAATATAAATGCAGCGGACAGTCAGTGGTCACATTTCTGACCTCTGATTAAAGAGTCCTGAGAGCAACTATGCACTCACTCAAGACCTGTGGGGCTTGCTGATTGAAACATTTATGCATCAGCTTCAACAGAGGAAATTTAGTGAAATTTGCAAAAGATAACATATTTATATTCCTCAGACTAACACAATGATGTGACCTAATGGGCTTCCTATCTAGGATTTTAACCGCTCTGTTATAAATCATTTGAAGTGGCTTAACTGTAGTAACAGTTGCTTACAGCTTATGAAAACCCCAAATTCAAAATTAGAATATTGTGATAAGGTTTTCATAGCTGTAAGTCATAATCATCAAAATTATAACAAATAAAGGCTTGAAATATCTCACTCTGCATGTAACGAGTCTATATAATATATTAGTTTACCTTTTAAGTTGAATTACTGAAATAAATGAACTTTTGCATGATATTCAAATTTTTCGAGTTTCACCTGTATATGTAGAAGTCTGTCAAGTCCAGATTCCAGCGACAAGTTGTCTGTCCATGGCAAAGGGTTTTCTACCTTGTATTTTCATGACTTCTTAATATTTCCACAGATGGCATGCTTTATAGATAGAAGAGATACCTTTCATCGCTCGTCACTTTATTGTATCATGTCTGGTTAGAACACAGTGTTAAAGTCACAGCAGCAAAATATAACAGAAGAACAGCTGGGTCTGAGAGAGGGTGAAAATGGATCAGGAATAACTGTTGTTTTAGTTGTTCTGTGTTTAGTGAAAAAACCTTGATTAACATTATAGGTGGACATCAGGGAGAAAATAGAATTATACAAAATATATGAAAGTTTATTCTTTTTTTCTTTTTTTTCAAGTTGATGGAACATGATTTGCGCATTTGCGTATGAACAAAATAAATAATTGTGTATAAACATGTATAAATAAATAATTGTGCAGTGTAATGACAAGGATGTAGAATCCAGCATTGCATACTGAAAAAGTATGCAGTAAAAAAGACTCAGTTAAAGGAGTAAACGGCTCTGTAATCGGTGTTGATTTCAGAACATGAACGTGTGCTCCAGTCGAGAGATTCATCACAGCAGCTCGATGTCTGATGTCACCGCTCCTCTCTCGCCAACACAAGATGAGGTCTTCTTCATCCCTGATGATCAGCCGCCAAAGGTTTGTCCTTGAGACAGCGTTTCAGTTGTCAGCATGGGTTGCCTCAGATATATCTCCACAGCCAAAATTTAAACCCAAACCTATATCATACTATACTTTTCATTGTACCGGTAGTATTCATTCAAATGTATTACACTTTGCTGTGTCAGCTTGGTGCAAATGCTGTAGGTGGCAACTGCTAAAATTGTGGTCAAAACGGCCTCCTCTACCAAAGGGAGGTGCCTTCCTTCCTTCTTTTAATGTGACATCCATTCAAAGCAGACATGTGGTTAGCACAAAAGTGAAAATAGCATAAAGGCCCAAAGTGTAGGTCAAAGGTATTGCATGAAGAATACTACTGGTAAATAATTAACTTTAGTCACTGACAAATGTCAAAAAAAAAAAAAAATGAAGCAATCTGTTTATTTTTGCAAATATTGTCTTAAGATTCCAGAACGAACAACGTCAAAATTCAAAGATGTCACAAGCCATCATAGATATGGATCCAGGTAAGTTGTTGTTTGAAATCCTTGCAGGACTCATTTGAAAATCCTTGCTCAAACCTACATTAATTAGGCTCAAGTGTAGTCCCCTGAAGCCCCTGATTATCCTCAGACTAGAAACTGTGGCTGTTTTTGTTTCTTGTCTTTCTATCAGTGGAGATCGTCAGTCTTCTCTGGACAACAGTGTTAAGATGTCCCTATCTAACAGCTCAACAAGCAGTTCACAGTCAGGTGTGTCTTTCTCTATCTGTTACTTATTGAAACCTGTATCAGAACAGAGTAAGGTCAATAGTTCAAGCATATGTCTTTGTACACTGTCATGTAGACGTTCTCGTTCTTGCAGGTTGCTTTATGCTGGACAGTCCAGCTCATCAAAACAGAAGCGCTCAAAGTCCAGGAACATCACCACCAAACCAGGTGTGAATCTGTATTTCATATTCGATAATGTACCAGCGCTTAAGCACTTTATGCAGCTGATTTCACCTCTGCTTTAGGTCTTTATTTCCCCAACCAAATATAGAATATTAAAATAAGTATCAGTAATGGCCCGTTCACACCAAGATCGATAACTATAACGATAACTAAGCTCGCGCTGCAATTTTGTCGCCTGCCGCCACAACATACTTGAGCTCTTTAAAGCAGGATTGATTCTGATTGGCTGTCAATGTTTTTATCATTCTTCTGCTGGAATTTTATTTTTCAAAAAGTGTTTTGTTTTCAATATTGTTCCTCTGTGCTGTTATGGTTATGGTTGTGGTGTGGACTCTGCTATTCTTTTAAATTTAGAACAATTTGTAGATCTATATCATTATAGTTATCGTCCTTGGTGTGAACAGGCCTTAAGATTGTTGGCTTTTAATATCAAACTGTTTTCGTCTTTAAGGGTTTGGGAATGAAGTCTCACTTCAGCCCATTAATGAAGCTTGCGGAATATTCTTCCTCCAGTGATGAAGATGATGAGAAGACTAGGTAATCTCACCTTGACTGTTTGCTCTCCTCTGAAAGTTGACCAATTTAAAAACAAAACACACATGGTCAAAGATTACGAGAATTTCATGAAGTGACTGACGTGATTTTGTGGTTATACTTTATATAATCATGCTAAGTTTATCAGCCATGGCAATGCCTTAAAGTGATAGTTCACCCAAAAAATCTGTATGTTTGTAACCAGACAGTTGACAGTAAGATAGTAAGTCAATGGCTACCGTCAACTGTCTGGTTACCAACATTCTTCAAAATATCTTCTTTTGTGTTTAGCAGAAGAAAGAATCTGATACAGATTTGTAGTAACATGAGGTTGAGTAAATGATGAAAGAATTTTCAATTTTGAGGGAACTATCCCTTTAAAGTCCCTAAAATCATCCCTAGAATTACAATTTTGTCATTATGTCATTCCAAACCTGTATGACTTATTCTTACTTCTGTGGAACATGCATGAACATCTGTTTTTGTCCATACAAAGGAAGTCAATGGGCTCCAATGTTGCTGGGTTTCTTCAAAATATCTTATTTTGTGCTCACAGAAAAAAGAAAGTCATACAGTTTTGGAATAACATGAGTAGCCTAAATGACGACAGAATCGTTTAAGGGTGAACCATCCCTTTCAACAGTGATTGCGACCAATTTAAACTCCATGCCAAAATAATCCCGATATGATTTAAATGAAAGTGAAAGGAGACATATGGTTGGTGCCGGATGGATAGGTCCCTGTGTCTAAGGTTGTGAACACGCTAGGCTCCGCATGTCACTGAATCAAGACAGTGAATTCCTCTCAATGCAGAAGTGCCTGTGGCAGTCACATTTCTGCTGTTCTGCCGATGTCCCATCAACGTCAAACCACGTTAGCTTGTGCTGGTTGTTTTCTGTATGGAAAACGGCTAGTTCTCGAGCAGCCTGGCAAAGACATTGCAGCTTTGCTCATACACTATGGGTGTGCCTTTAGCCCCGTTGTACCCTATGGGTGGAACTGAACTTGATGTTTTTGTACTCAGTGCTATTAACCCACACAGAAACAGATAAACATTTGGCTGATTTTTTTATTTTTTATTAACAATTCTTCCTTATCAGGGTGTGTGTATCATAGCATACTTGTTTCATATTGTCTGCTATTACAAGTCAAATAGCAAAAAAAGGAAAATGGAGGGGGTGTGGGGTTTACAAACCAATGTACAATGTTTACAAACGTTTTTAACTTCGCTGTTTTGGCTGGATTATATACCAGACGATTTTTTCGCACACGCCTACAACATTCATGACACATGGTAGAACTCCTCATCCTGAGCAACTTTTCCTCTAGGACCGCCTCTTTGCCTTTTTGGCCTCTGACAATCGAATCGTTTGTTAAATATTGGAGATTATTTCAAGAACCAACTTTCGCGAACTAGTCCTAGGTTTTTGTCTCAACCTTGATAAAACCACTGCGGCACAATTTTCGGGGACTCTCTAGGATGGTCAATAATTATCAAAAATATGTTGCACTTTGGCCTTTGCATAGCTATAGCGGGGTCCGTGGCCATGGCCAATCTACCCAAAAGCCTATCATTCCTAAACTAAAAACCAAGATTTCGCATCATTAGGTGAGCACATGCGGCACATGATTCTAAAGAAGCATGCAGACTTTTATGGAGACCGGACCATGTGTGGCTATAACTGTTAAAAAGGTGTAAAACTGCTCTATTTCAATGGCAAATCCCATGAAATGGCTGAAAATGACCCTCTTCCTGCCTGATTTGCATAGATTGCGCATGATTCTAAAGAAGCATGGAAACTTTTATGTACATCGGGCCATAGGTGCCACTTTAACTGTTATGAAGGTGAAAAAAGGATTAAAAACCATGTATTTCAAAGGATCAAATGTTTTCTTTGGCATCCTTTAAAATCGTTCTGACTGTGGTTTGTCTAGGTCTCCGTTGAGCAATGGAAGGCCCCTGTTATCCAGAGGGCAGTTTAATGAAATCATTCTTCAGCCTCATCTCAATGTGAAACCGCAGCAGGTAAAGTCACCTTCAGTCTGTTGTTTTAGGGTTAGGGTTAGGGTTAGGGTTAGCAAACATATCAGTATATATTGAAGAAACTCAATAATTGGGTCCTAATGTACTCCTGTGTTCATCTGCCTTTGCTTTTATTGTGATACTGCAGCTCATTTTCACCAGTGGAGATTTATTGTAATTATTGTAATCATTCAATCCATCAGTTTTTCAGAGATACTGTCAGCTTTTTTCAAAGTGGGATTTCCTGTCCGAAAAAAGATATTCATGTTTCTCCAGCAGAGTGCAGCAAAGCCAACACATTACGTCCATCAGAGGCCTTCTGGATCCCAATCCAGCGACAGCTACCATCTGCCGGACCTCCTGCACAAGAGCCCCACACATGAGCTCACCTGCCACCAACACACCACACAGAGCTTTGATGTAGGTCTTCATCTAGACGTCTTTTGGCTTTGTTCAGACCACTGATAACATCATTTGAGAGCTTGGGTTTTGATAGATTGGTTCTTTTTAATGTGTGCCTAATACTGTGACCATGGACACACACAATACTCATGTTCCAGAGGTAAGTTGTTAGAGCTTTAATAACGTTCAGCCTCTGCCCAAGCTTAAGGGTGTTTTCACACAAGATTCGATTGCCTGGTCATTAAACTTATATCATGATACGAGTCATTTTATTTTTTACGATAACAAGATATATCACAATATAGTTTTTTTTTTTTAAATGCATGTTTTATACCATTAAAATTTCATAATTCTCGTCACCAATTTTTAACTTCACAAAAAAAAAAACGAATACCTGACTAAATAAGTAAAAAAAGAAAAGCTCACTGAGGACAAGTAAACAGTCAGATAAAATAAGAACAAAGAAACTAATTACAAGGAAAACAAACTACAATAGAACAAAGACACAGATGAAATAGACCTACCTGAAAAATCCAAGCACTAAATAAGAAATACTAGGCTACATAAATTGTATAAACTACTTAAATGTACAAAAAACACAGCATAGTCTTCACTGTGTAAATTAAATATAAACGTATTCTTGTTAAAGTTACAAAAGTGATTCAGTCAGGAGCAATTTCTCTTCATCTTTTGTTGTTTGATGAACATTAAAAACAGACAGCACCAGGTATATTAGGCTGCTGTCACTTTAAGACTAAATGTATTTTACGACTACCAGTATATCGCCCATCCCTAACTTAGCCTAATAGTTTCAAAGATATATTTTTTGTGTGTGTTTTCCCCCATTTTGATACATAAATGAAAAAATATTATAGAATTATGTTTCCATGTGGTCTGCGCTTTTTAATGGAAAGAGCAATGATTTTGTGTTCTGCTTGATCCTACTCGCATTGTCATTCTCCCCCTGATGTTTGTGCTTGTGTTATTCTGTATTAACAGAAAGTATTCAATAACCAGCCAGGAAAAAGCACGTCCTCTTCCTCTTCCTCATTCTCACCTTTTATTGACCCTCGTTTACTGCAGATCTCTCCACCTCAGAGTCCGCAGGGATACGACCAATGTGAGTCTGATGCCCACTGACCTGTATAAATGTCAGTAAACAGTGAGTAAAATGTCAGTGTATAAAACACATGCATCTCTCTGTCAGTGAATGGCAGGTGTGAGCCGTGTGTTAGACAGCCCCACAGGAAGGGCTCCGTGGTGAACGTCAACCCCACCAACATTCGACCTCAGAGCGACGCCCCAGAGATCCGCAAATATAAAAAGAAGTTCAATGCTGAGATCCTCTGCGCCAGCCTGTGGGGTGAGACATCTTCATACACACACAGGAACACATGCAGTGCAGACTAATGATTTTAATAAAGACCATTTGCCTGTTCCTGCTTAAATCAAATGTAAAGGAATAAAATAAATGAATGTCATATGAAATGTTTTGAAACTCAAAAACAAAACAAAAGACACAGAACCGGGATCATGACATCTGCTCAATAAGGAATACTTAAATTCACTATCAAACTGTGAAAATCACTGTAATGGAATGTTATGTTCACTTCACTGTTATATTATTGAAATTATTATTAATAATAATTATTGAAATGAAATCGACTTTGTTAATTGTTTGTATAATAATATGGAGCAAAATACCTAATGTTTTCCATCGAAATCAGCAGTCCTCTGAGAAAAATTGTCCCGTCCTGATTACGGATGATTTTTTTTCACACATCTTTTCATTATATATTTTGACCTTTGTTGAATTTTGTTACTATTTTATTATGGAATGAAAACTTTTGGCCAAATTTTCTACTTAAAATAACTGGTTTCTGCACTGTTGAAATTTAAATCAGTACGGAGAGTCCAGTTATTGACTGCTCAGAATGGTTGTAATTGTATCTCATGTATTTGATAGATTTATTTAAGTGAGTTTACTGATGCACACACTGTAGACACTCCCATCTCAGTAAAGATATCAGTCACATCAGTACATGAAATGACAGGCTTCCTGTGTCAATGACTCTAACTGAACAACTTGTATCTCCCCCATATATTACATGATAACTATTTTCGAAACTTGCCGTTATCAGTGTGTATTTTTTGTCTTGTTTAAAGCAGGTATTGCATGCAGTGAAAATGCTGTTTTAATTGGTGTAATTGAGGCAGATCTGTTTCCTCACTGTGACTGTTGTGTGTGTGTTCAGGTGTGAATCTGTTGGTGGGCACAGAGAACGGCCTGTGGCTGCTGGACCGCAGTGGTCAGGGCAAAGTTTACTCTCTCATCAGCCGAAGACGCTTCCAACAGATGGACGTACTGGAGGGGCTCAATGTACTCATCACTATATCAGGTGCATACTCTACACAAAGCTACAACAGATAGTATTCTTATACTTGTACTAGCAAATGAATGAACAAAATCAAGAGTTTTTGGCAAATCCTGCAAGAGACTTGACCACAAGACTGAAAGCTTTATCACGTTGATAGTTTGAGATCGATCATCTAAATTCTAGTTGGAGGAGCCACGCTTGAAGCTGAGATCAAATGTCACCATACAAAGAAAGTCTTGGGACAAAGAAAAGAGTTTTGTACCACTAAAAACAGCACAAAACCTCATAATATTACTCCGCCAACTAACTAAACATACACGCATAACAACTCTCTGAAATATTTTAGCATGTTAACGGATATGACCATTTTAAAGGGGTAGTTTGCCCAAAAATTTTAATTCTTTTAAAAATTATTTTAATAAATCACCTACTCACCCTCATGTCATTCCAGTATGACTCTCTTTCTTCTGTGGAATGTAATGGAAGATATTTGGAATATTTCGGTTGCCATTGACTTCCATTGTTTTTGTCTAGTTGAACATGTGATAACATACTGAATGGAATTGCATGAGCGAGTTCATTGTCTCTCTTACAAAGTTCATGGAAACACAATATTCTCATTCGTGGAATAGTTTGCTTAGAAACTAACTTTGAAGTGCATTTAGGCTAAACTTTGCTTATATGTTCCATTAGTACATTCAAATATGTGGTTTCTCAGGCATGATTGAACTCATTGATATGAATACATTAAGACGAAACTCATATTTATTTGCAAACAAAAGGCAAACATTCCATTTGTCTCACTTTATATTTGTTTCACACAACTTATAACCCATTACCTTCTGATGGTATCTTATGGTAAATGCATATTCTTGTTTGAGTGTTCCTACATGACACTGCTTTCAGAAGAGTAACTTGCCCCTTCAGTAACTTCAGCCTCTGTGAATATGTATGCATGACCGATCTCACTGCTTTCTCTTACTTAACTTGTTCCAATGCCTTTTCACTTTCACACTGTTCCCTCACAAGCAATTTGTCTTTGTGCTGCTGCTATTGATGTTATAAAAAAAATCATATTTTCACACTAACTTTGCTTATATGCGTGTAATTATTTAGCACTTTGTGTATGGTTGCTTCAATTAGGAATTGATAAATGAAGACCAAGCAACAGTGTTTGTAGATGTGTAACAATATATTATGTCACAATATATCACAATACAAAAATGCAACAAAATGTATCGTGGATAGTTCACCCAAAATAAAAATGACTGTGTGAGAAAGTTTGCAGAGTTTTAGTGTCAGTACTACATTAAACTACTATAATGTTGAATATAATGGCAATGAGGGAATATTTATGGGTCCTGATAATGGCAAATGTCTCATGTTACCAGTAAAAAGTGGCCTACATTTATTTTAAATATATCTAGTCAGTGACAGAGTGCAAGCATATTCGTCTAAAATAATTCTGTTTTCAGCTTCAGAATCATGAATATTGTTATTCTGGTGTCTCTATTGTCCTGTGCTTTGGGTTTCCAGCACCAAGTCCAAGCCTATTCATTTACACCCCCAATGTAATACCAAATTTAGCATTTTGATCACAGTACATCGCAATAATAGCTCAGTATCGTGATATGTATCGAATTGTGACATGATGGTATCGTTACACACCTATTGTTTTTTATTTGGAATTTTGGGCGTAAATCTTGGTAAAAGATTTGTTGATAGATTGATAATGTGACACTGAAGAATGGAGTAATGATTCACAGCATACATGATATTTTAAAATAGTCAAGTCACATTTATTTATATAGCGCTTTTTACAATACAGATTGTTTCAAAGAAGCTTTACAGTGATAACAGGAAAATAATGCAAAAGAAGTTTGTTTCCAGAAGAAAATAGCGTCACAGTCCAGCTTAAGTAAGTTCAGTGATGTTTCATTTTTGTTTTAAAAAAAGTTATTAATTTAGTTAATTTATATATATATATATATAGCCGCTCTGGAGAAAACAGTGATGTCATCGTCCAGCTCAGTTCAGTTCTTGTATAATGGTGTCAATGCAGGCAGATCAATATTACTGTTGAATATTAAATTTAATGTTAAATTTAATGTCCCCAACTAAGCAAGCCAAAAGCCAATGGCAACAAAGGTGAAAAAGGCAACAGTGGCAAGGAACCAAAACTCCATCAGTGACAGAATGGAGAAAAAAAACCTTGGGAGAACCCAGGCTCAGTCGGGGGCCAGTTCTCCTCTGGCCAACGAACGAACAGTGTATGATTATGATTCAGGCAGTATTACCGGTCAGAAGTCAGATTGGTTTGGAAGAATCAGAATATTATTTTTTGATCTAATAAATGCAGCTTTGGTGAGCAGACGAAACCATTCTTTAAAAACCATTGAAACTTCTGACCCGTAGTGTATAGATATAGCTTGAATCTAATTTATTGTTTATTTCTTGTGGAAAGGTAAGAAAAACAAGCTGAGGCTGTACTACCTGTCCTGGCTGAGGAATAAGATCTTGCGTAATGATCCCGAGGTGGAAAAGAAACAGGGCTGGACCTCAGTGGGAGATCTGGAGGGATGTGTCAGCTACAAAGTAGGTGAGTCCCTTTTAAATATGTTTCTGTTTCAATGGACTTTACCAACAAACATCAGTGCGCTGCATCTCAGGCAGTTTTACAGTATACAAGGGCTGAACTCCTTTTAGAGCAGACATTCAAGGTAAGCCAATAAAACATACTAAGTATTATAATTAAAAACACTGACAGTTATTATTATACACACACTGAATGGAAATACCTAGTAAACTCAATCTAGCAAACCCGAAGAGGAAGTATTATCAGTCCTGTAAAGTAGCAAGTAGCCTGACAAATATTAAGTCTGGATCAAAAAGGCTTGTCTTTCAAGGGTGATTTTTGTATTTATAATCACAGAATGACACAAAAATAGAGCAAATTCAGATTTCAGTGTCATAATTGTGGTCAGTTTTGAAACAACATGCAGTTGTGATGAAATAGGATGGACCTACATTTTTTGTCTTCTATATATATATATATATATATATATATATATATTAGGGGTGTAACGGTACACAGAAGTCACGGTTGGGTATGTACCTCGATTTTGGGGTCACGGTTTAGTACAATTTGGGTACAAATTGGGATGGTCAGTTCAGTTTTATTTCCAGACCATTAGTATATTCTGGCAGCTGTGATTGGGTGGGACAGTGCCACCCTGGCCCTTATGTGGCCTCGCCACTGGTTCTAGAATAATCTAGGCTAGAATGGTTTGATAAATGTTTGATAAATGTCTTTCTTGCATGTAATCTCCATTTTGATTATCATTTGACACTAACTTCTTTCAGTTCGGTATGAAAAGATCAAGTTCCTGGTCATCGCCTTGAGGAGCGCAGTGGAGATCTATGCGTGGGCTCCCAAGCCATACCACAAGTTCATGGCTTTCAAAGTAAGTCTCGTAGAGATGATCTGTGTGAAATGTCACAAAGTATGCCAAAACATTTTTGGTCATATTTCATAACTGAAAAATTAATAAAAAGAGGAAATTATGAGAAACAAAAGAGATTGATATTACCACAATGCCAAAGAAGTCACATTCTCATTAAAAATCATAAAAATTTAAATAATGAGTAATTATTAAATGGTAACGCTTTACAATAAGGTTCATTAGTTAACATTAGTTAATGTATTAACTAACATGAACTAACAATGAGCAATACATTTGTTACATTATTTATTAATCTTTGTTAATGTTAGTTAATAAATATACAACTTTTCATTGTTTGTTCATGTTAGTTCACAGTGCATTACCTAATGTTAACCAATACAACCTTTGATTTTAATAACGTATTAGTAAATGTTGAAAATTAATATTAACGAAGATTAATAAATGCTGTAGAAGTATTGTTCATTCTTAGTTCATGTTATCTAAGGTAGTTAACTAACGTTAACTAATGAACCTTATTGTAAATGTTACCTATTCGATTTTAAAACAGTTGTGCATCATAGAAGTATTTGTCATACTCTCCATAAGTTATGCTGATTTTATTTTTGCGAACATATTTTTATTGAATTTTACAACACATTTAACAAAATAAACTTAATTACAAACATAACTTACTCAAATCCCTCCCTCTCCACATTAACCCTGGCAGTCGGTTAAAAAAAAAAATATATATATATAATATTTTACAGTGCTTTATATCACACACTCCTGTTAAGCATTAGGCATATACTACAACTTCACACATCTATAGCCTCTTCAATATCCCCTTCTTTAACAAATCTCAAGAACATCTCCCAAATTTCTTAAAATTCAGAAGTCTTCCCCTTGATCACATATGTAAGCTTCTCAAGGGCCAAACTGGATATCAAGTTTTTCAGCCAAAGTCCAAGGGAAGGACAACTTGTATTCTTCCAGCAAAGGGCAATTGAACGCCTGGCTTGTAGTAGGCACAAATTGCTGATTTAATTTTTTTTTTTTAATTAGGTGAGCTACCGAGCAATGTAACTATAGCTTTCCTGTGGCTCGAACAGTAGAGCGTCAAGGTCATGGGTTCGATTCCCAGGGAAAGCAAGAACTTATAAGAATGTAAATGTGTACCTTGAAATGCAATGTCAGTCACTTTGGATAAAAGCGTCTGCCAAATGCATAAATGTTAATGTAAACTACGTCAGAAAAGCTGCGCCAAAAATTCTTTATTAATCAATAATCTGCCCCAGTAATCATAATTTGTGTGAAAATTAACAAACGTTTTTGGTGTTTTACTGCCACTGTCATTTCATCTGGAAACCACAGTGAATTGTAAAGACAGGGTTGAAACATAAAGCTCTTGAAAGGTTTCTGAGATTCCTAGTACAGTACGTCCATAATTGCTTTGAGCCCAGGCTCAGGAGGCAGTTATGGTCATAACCATACTTTCTAATGTGATATTTCTAATCACCTGCTGTTTACATTTATATATTTTTCCATAAAATAAAATAAAAGAATAGGATAGTGTAATGATAGATAATGTAACTGGGGTGTTTTTGGAAATGGGTCATTTTTGAGTACGTGTCCTACTTCACTGCTGTCCTGAGAGACTTACTCTACTTCTGACATGAAGTTCTGCCGTTTATGTTTATAACATTTAGATCAGATTGTTGTCCTTCCCATTTTTATGGACATGAAAATATAGTATGTTTACAAAATGTCATTGAAAATATGTTCTTTTTTCAAAGAAATTGTGAAGCTGGCTTCCTCAGCTCGGTGTAGCAATGGGCATCATGTTTCGCTGCTGAAGTTCTGACGGATAAATGATATGTGAAATGCAAATTCTTTTTTTCTTGACACCAATTGAGTTTTAATGCTGGTAAATATGTACATTCTGGAAAAAATTGTTGTAATTATGATTGCATCGGTAATGCATCAAGAATAAACACATGCTCTCTGTGGCCGCTAAATATCAGACTGAGTGCGTCGACACACACAATTAATTGTCCTTCATGCAACACATGATATGGTTATATATGTTGTTCCACACATCACCCCTGTACGTGATCTGATCATCATATAAAATCAGGTGATTGCTCACTGCAATGATTAACTTTTGATCTTGTGGACACACAACAGTCTGATAGGAGGCGGATCATGTGAGCTCCACTCTCATTGGTAGTCACTGCATCAAGTCGTTTCTCAAAAATCTTCTCAAAACTGGACAGGGTCACCTAGGGTCACTGAATGTGTGTGTATTCAGATCACACCAAGCCACTGATGTGCACGAGTCCAACTCAATAAACAAGAAACGCATGGAAAGTGTCACCGTAAACATGAACTGATGTTTTTGTCGTGGCTGGCATGACCTTGTATTGTCAAACTTTGTTTTTTAATATGCTGTTTCAGTTTCGAAACGTTTTTCTTTATAGATGAGGAATGCATCCTCTGTGTGCAACAAATTGCTTTTTGATAAATCGAAGTGCAACAAACTGTCAAGAATGGTTTCAAATATTTCGTATATATGAATTTTTGAAGTCAGCATAATTGCGCATAATTATGACTCATAATTGTTTTCTTGAAAGAGTTACTTCCAGAACTTTCAGAGCTCAACACTTCTTACGCAGCCCCAAAAGACCATTCACTGAATCTCAACTGTAAAAACAACTGACATCCTCTGGTTTCTGATGTCAGAAGCCCAAAAGCTGTGCTCACACCATCAGCGTTTTCCCTTTAACAGAATTAAAGCCGATACTTTATAAATCAATCTGTTCTCACATTAGCTGTGAATATATCCTGTAACCAAAGATGACATTGTTCAAAGCTCTGGGAAATCTTATCACAGTTGACATGAGTCAAGGCACAAGTTCCTCTGTCAAAGTGGAGAACTGTGAACACTACCTGGATGTAAAACCTTCAGATGATGACACACTGCTCAAGTCTCTGTGTGTTGCACAAGTGTGTGTGTTCTTGTATTCTTGGTTTATTAGGACACAAATGGCATGGGTATTACAACGTAAACATGGTTAATGTTAATGAGACTTCCTGTGTCCTCGTAAACCAAAAGAAACCACTAGATTTTATGTCCACCCTTTGTTTATTTTTCAGTAGATGAGTAACTCAGTTGTGCTTTATCTTCGGTCAGTCCTTCAGCTCACTGCCTCAGAAGCCCCTCTCAGTTGACCTGACGGTGGAGAATGGACAGAGGTTAAAGGTCATCTATGGGTCTCACTCTGGCTTTCATGCTGTTGATGTGGATTCAGGGACGCCCTTCGATCTGTACCTGCCCAGTCATGTGAGTATCCCAGCAAGCACTTGTCCACACCTGTAGTAGTGCAGCTGTCTGTTGTAATTAGATTTTTTTATAAGGTTTTTGGGTCATGCTAGCATGCTAGGTCACTGAAAAAATCAAGCAAACATCTAATGAGGTCAGCTGTTACATTGTGTTAAAATAAATGGCCCAATGTTGTCTGCACTGATGGTGGGACAATGTTTAGTGGATCTATCACCACTGAAAGTGGTTAAGAGCATACATTCACAAAAACACTTAACTGATACATACCGTATGCTTACACTAAAACTATTTGAACAGTCACAGGTGTCAGAATATTTTATTTAGCATTTTGAAAATGAGTGTCCCGGCATAGTACTGCTCCTGTTTTATAGGAAGTATAGGTTTTTTTATTTGTTTGTTTGTTATTTTAATATTTTACAATCACTTTTGCACTCATTTCAGAACCGTGATGTCATGTTTAAAAACTCACTTGTAACACTGCATGGTGCATTCACATCTTTAAAGAAACCTTGCACTTGCAGAATCATTTGTTTATCATCTTGAAATATCTTAGTGAAACTCGGTGTCAGTAATCAGTATCTTGTGTGCGGGAGATCTAAATGAATGTTCCTGTGTAGTTGTTTGTACAATCATTAAATATTGTTGTACAATACATGTGATTGATATTTCATTATGGTACTACATGTAAATGCTGTAAAAGAGCTAGTAGAGAGAATATTACAGTAAGGCTGCTCCCTCATAGTCGACTAAACGTTAATTGACAAAAAGAAGCTTGGTCAACTAAATTTAAATCAGTTGGTTAGTCACAAAAGAAAAGAAAAACGTTGTCACGCAGTGGTAGGTCGCTAGCATGGCCGGTCCATGTGGTAATATGTCGGCAGAAAATCCAGAGTGTCGGAACATTTAGAGAGAGTAAAGAGTGACCACAAAAGGTGACGTGCAACCTCAAACATGACATCATTTAAAACATGCAAGTAGCAGCCTAACGTGATCCACTTTACATGGCCGCTCGCTCTATCGTTAACATAACCCTAGCTAATGTTAGGCGCATATCCAAGTGTTCGTGCGGAGTGTGGAAGCTAAATTAGTACCGCTCTTACTGCACAACATGTTTAACTGGGACACACCAAGCCGACTTCAGAGAACAAGCGTGATGAAAACCGACAGTTTTGTCGGCTGCGTCTGGACCAAAAAGCTGCGCTTGAGCACACAGCATAGACTACAGGCGACTGCAAACTAGCACTGTGTGTGAGGACTTGAGTTAGTTCACCCCAAAATGAAAATTCTGTTATTAATGAATCACCATCATGTCGTACCAAACCCATAATACCTTTGTTCATCTTCAGAACACAGATTAAGATATTTCTGATGAAATCCGAGTCCTTATAGACTGCAAAGTAACGACCACTTCCAAGGCCCAGAAAGGTAGTAAAGACATCGTTAAAATAGTATCTAATGTGACTCCAGTGATTCAACCTTAAAGTTGAAAGTTAAACTGCGCAGCGCTTCTAGGTTGTACGTCACACGCATCACACACATGACCAGCGTTGGCCAATAGTGAGCCTGCGTGTGACGTGCAACACAGAAGCGCTGCGCAGTTAAACTACGTGAAATCTCGAGGCCCACAGAGAAGGAAATGAATATTTGAATAAAGTCGTTATTTTTGTTTGTTTTTTGCTCACAAAAAGTATTCTCGTCGCTTGATAAACTTAAGATTGAGCCACTGTAGTCACTCGGATTATTTTAACGATGTCTTTAATAACTTTTCTGGGCCGGCAAGTTTCAATCCCTTAGAAGCCTATGGAGGAGTGATCCAGCTCTCAGATTTAATCAAAAATATCTTAATTTGTGTTCTGAAGATGAACGAAGGTCTTGCGGGGTTGGAACAACATGAGGGTGAGTAATTACTGACAGAATTTTCATTTTGGGGTGAACTAACCCTTCAATGTTATGAAGCGACGAGAATACTTTTTCTGTATTATAAATTTTTAAGACCAGACAAGTAGTTTGTTGAGGGTTTTGTTGATTTGCCTGCGCACATATATATTCAAACGCTTATACCTATGGACTGAACACGTGATGCGCATGTGCGCGCCGTCTGCGTTTTCGCGGGTTTGCGTTTTTTAGGTTTGCGCTTTTAAGGTTTGCGCAGAGATAACGGATAATCGTTTGCACCTTCGAAGCTATTTCAGGGAGTGCGTTCTCGAGACACCAGGCAGGCACTGTTTTGTGCGGATGGGCGGTCGGAGCACGTTAAGAGTTTTTCTGTTAGAACGGTGTCGTGTTAGCAGCCCCTAAGTTAACAACTAAAGATCTTCGCAACGGAAGTGAATCAATCAACACTGACTTTAGCTGGACAATAACTCTATCCTAATGCTGTTGTAAAGCCTAAACAATATGTTACGGTAATTTCTATTATAGCTGTAAAGCTGCTTTGAAACAATCTATACTGTTAAAAGCGCTTAATAAATTATGGTGACTTTTTTGGGAAGAATTTTTGGGACGAATTTCTTCTCTTCTGGTGTCATTCTCCTCCTACGCGTTTGACGTAGTAAATACACTGCAGTGCTTCCGGGTTTTACGTTTGCTGCTATAGCCTAAATTTTATTTATGAATTTTTATATAATAATAGTATATGTCCTACATTTTTAAAATATTTTTGTTGAATTAATTTTTATTTTAGGTTATATTATAGGTTATTTATTTTGATCTCAAAATAAGTCTTAATATCAGAAAGCTTTATATAGTGCTATATCGCTTAATATATATTTTAAATGCTCATTATTATGTGTTGTTTGTGTTGCCTGTCTGGCTTACTTTAAAAGCAAAACAAAGAATTGATAACTGTACTTCTATATTTCCATCAACCCTGTCTTGTGTATTTGGCCAGAGATTCTCATTACAAGGTCCAGAAACACACAGTAATTTCAAATCTGAAAACATGGAATAATAATTCAGATTTCTCTGTGTGTTTAACCCTGATAGCACAGAGCAGCTGAGACATCACATCACAAAACCACAATTGTGTACCATCATACTGTAGATAGATTTCTTGCACCTTTACTTTGTTTCACAAGTAATCAAAATGATCTTGGTTTTGGATTTGTGTGAGATTCACCCTTAAACAAAAGCAGGCATATGAAAATGCCGTCACCACATCACACTCGTTTTACTTCTACCAAACGCTACAGTTTAAAGATGGCATAAATAGGTACAGCATGTAGAACAAAATGTAATGTGTGAAAAATGTGATGATATAGAGCTGCTCTATATTGCTCTGTATTGCTGACGTCCCCACACACCCACACAGCAGTGTATCCTTTACAGAGGGGAAGAGCGAAGACCGTAGTGTTCATGCACCACCCCCTCCTAGCTACGGCCCACACTCCTCTGAGCTGTCCCACATAGTTACGGACTAGTTCACCCTCACAATGTGTGTGTGCTAGTTTCTCCAAACTGATCTCTCGTCCAAAAATAACTCTGCAGCCTTTGCTATGTTCCCAAAGCATAAGCCTATTGAAATGACCTGGTATTTCACAGGGTTTTTTTTTCTTTTTCTTCTAGTAACAGGCAGTAGATAAATTTAGAGTTGAACTAGCGGCAAGAAACAGAACTGGAAGCTGGGCGGCACTAAATCATTTAGCCTTCCATACCAACATTTTCTCATTCATTCCCTCCCATTCTCTCATTCATTCTGTCACTTTTTCATATTCTCACACACATTGCTTTTAATGCAATTGCATTTTTCCATCTTTCACTTAGTCGTTGTCTTTCACTTGCACACACTCATTAGCGAAGTCCTTCCACACTAAGGCTGCTCTTTGCGTGGTGTAATTCTGCTTCTCCCACTTGGGAACACACTCTCCGTTTTTTTGTCGGTGTGTTTGCGCGGCTGGCGCTCATGAGAATCCCGCGGCAGAGGATAAGGATTTCTCTGCGGCTCTGGATGCCCGTATTGATGCTCAGGATTGTGGTGGCTCTACAGAGGGATGGCAGTACAGTGTGTGTGAATTTATTTCTGAGTCAGGCAAGTACAGTGGGAGTTGTGTGATTGTGGAAATGACATAGACATGTAAGTACAAATGATTGAGAATATCTATTCTAATCCTTTGTTGTCGCTTAAAAAGTGGTTAAGATTTTTTTATTTAATTTTTTTTTAGCTAACGCATAACTTTTAATATTAAAATGTGTTTAACCTCGTTCTTGTAATTGAATGAACTGAATTACATGGTCATTGCATTTATTTAAAAGTGATGTGTGATAAAGATTTCACCATCATTTTATTAACTCCTTTCCCCACCATTGACAGAATTTTCCAGCTTTCCATGTTTTCACTGTTATACAGGGGCACTTTTACGCATCTCCTGAAAGAGTAGAGAATCTTCAGATCAAATCACAGGCAAAAAAAAAGAGGCAAAAACAAGCGGTAAAAGCATCGCTTATGTAGTAGTCTACATTCGTTGTAGTCTTAGCTAAAAAAAAATCGCTTTTTTTTTTCTTTTTGAGTTTTTTAACAAATGTCTAAAAAAGAAATAAACAACAGTAAAAAAAATTTAAAGTAAATTGTTTTTTATCTTAATCTTTAAGTATAGACCAACGCTACTTTTGCGTCATCGAAGGGTAACGCCCCTTTTTGGGGGAAAACAAACGGATTCCCCTGAGAACAGAACTCGCTCTAGATCTGCTAAGTTTCTTAATAGCAAAAATGGCACAAACATACTCTCTCTTTGCCGGCCGAGGACCGTGAGCGGTATTTAAAGAAGCTACTGGATACGGGGTCACAGAGGTGTCCCTTTGAAATGGTCGAAAACTGGATTAATGACCCCACGCAGTGGCCAAATATGGACTATTCAGACATCTAACGTTACCACTATCTCGTGGAATCACCAAGTAAGTAGCCCAATTTTTTTTTTTTTTTTTTTTTTCATTAACACTCACAGTATGACAAACTAGACGATGAGGCCATGTCACGTGGATCATATTTAACTTGATTTAAGCTATTGACATAGTTTTGTTGTCGACTATACTGTTGAAATAGTGGCAGGCTAGGACTAAAGTGGACTTGGCTGGTTTCTGCTTGTGTCTAGAAAGTGCTAGGACTTTGAAAGTTGTAAAAAGGTTTACAGTGTACAGCAAAATATGTATAGGACCAATGTATGTATGTATGGGGCTATCAAATTGGATGTTGTGACATTACGCTATCCTATCTAGCCTAGAAGGCTTGATCTACTGCCGTTCGTGTTGTTACATGTAGCCCAGAGCAGAGGTCGTCGAAAAGTCATATAGGCCTAAAGCACTTTCTAGACACAAGCAGAAACCAGCCAAGTCCACTTTAGTCCTAGCCAGCCACTATTTCAACAGTAAAATCAGTTAACAGCCAAGGTAGCGTGCCTAGTGAGAGCTAATCACGTAACGTTAGCTGCTAGCAGCTTCGTCTTTCTAACTTGTATAGCTAATCGACAACAAAACTATGTCAATAGCTTAAATCAAGTTAAATATGATCCAAGTGACATGGCCTCATCGTCTAGTTTGTCATACTGTGAGTGTGTTAATGACAAAAAAAATAGGCTACTTACTTGGTGATTCCACGAGATAGTGGTAGATGTCTGAATAGTCCATATTTGGCCACTGCGTGGGGTCATTAATCCAGTTTTCGACCATTTCAAAGGGACCCCTTAACCAGTAGCTTCTTTAAGTTTGTGCCATTTTTGCTATCAAGAAACTTAGCAGATCTAGAGCGAGTTCTGTTCTCAGGGGAATCCGTTTGTTTTCCCCCAAAAGGGGGCGTTACCCTTCGATGACGCAAAAGTAGCGTTGGTCTATGCAACCTGCCCCATGTGCCCAGCCCATAGGGAAACATGCAGCACAACCCAGAAGTGTGTAATTGAGAAGGTTGGAGGAGAGCCTTACCCATTACCTGGATCAAAATCAATCATTCAAACTATAAAATTGAACGGTAAAGTAAACCAAGGTGAGGCCGGTGGAGATGAACATCATGGCGGAGCAAAAGACCACTGGGGATCAGGCAGGTGCCATGACGGAGCTGAAGACCAACCAAGGTGAACCTGTCATGGCTGAAGAACACCAGGGCGAAGCCAGCAGAGTTGGAGATCACAGTGTGGATGAAGACCTTGGGACCTACAGGGCCACCAGACTTGGAAGCAACCAGACATGGGACACTGGAATTGAGACCACCAGACTGGGGAAGGCTGAACTTGGGAACTCCAGGACTACCTGGAGAACATGAGAACAATGAACATGGGACCACCGGACTTGGGTCCTCCAGGGCAACCAGACTTGGGAGGACAACTGGGCGATGGTTCACCTGACTTTGGACCTCCTGGATCATTGTACTTATGGTAGCAGATGTTGCAACCTTTGGGGGCGCTGCAGTGGAGACCACCGCCTCTGTGCCAGATGGAGAAGTGTGCATGGCACACACACATCGGATGGTGGCAGCCATCATTACTGTACGTTCACACCGCCACCGACTTGAGCGTCAAAGAAGCTCTGGCCGCCCTGTCAAGGACGCTTGTCAAAAAGTACGGGGAAGCTGGTTGACGCTTTGGACGCTTTGAACGCTCTGACGTTGCAGGGAGAATAGAAGTGTCACAACATTAAATGTAATAAACAGAAAAAAACAAGCAATACATTGAAGAAACCTTTTATAATGACAGCATTTTTATAACCGTTTTGGTCACATTTGGTCGGGAAAAAAAGAATAGTTAGCTATTATTATTATTATTTGCGGTCAAATCGGTGTCACCGTGAGCAAATGAATTGCATTCCCGCTTTAAAACGAGTGTTCGTAAATATTTCAAATAAAAGTTGCGCTCATGCGGTCCCTATAAGCAAACAAAGTCATGTCATAAATGATAGGAAACCCAGCAACAGCGATTATTAGCTTCTCTTCCATTTTCTCGGAACTAATGTTTTTGTAGGAACTAAAGTTTATATCGTATGTTTCTCCGGAATCAGCCAGCGCGAAGGACGTCTATATTCCTATTGGTTGCCGCTGCTTGCCGCTGAACCGCGTCACAGCTCATTACCATAAAGTTGAGCTTCTTTCAACTTTCTGATTGACGCTCAAAACGCCCAAAATGCAACGCCGATGGATTTGACGCTCCTTGCAGCTGAGAAAAGCCAGCTTCCATTGAAAATGAATAACTTCCGGCCGCTTTGGAAGCTCAAGTCGGCGGCGGTGTGAACGTACAGTTAGAGGCACTGAGGACAGTAAAAGAAACTCTGGGACCCCTGGACTTGGGACCTTCAGGACTAATGGATTTGGGACTTCCAGCACTACTGGATTTAGGACCTACAGAGGGACCTACAGAGTGGTCACTGGACTTGGGGCAGAGGACACTGCGGCTTCTGTGCCAGATGGGGAAATGTACATGGCCCACAGACACATCAGAAGCACTGAAGACAGTGGACAGACCTCTGGGAGCACTGGACTTGGGACCCTTCACGATCACTAACATAAACATATTACAAGTTACATTCATTTTATTAACTCTAATATAATTAAATCAATTGGTTTTATAAAAAAGATGTTTGTTTCTCTTATAACTTACAGCCTAAGTTATAAGCTATAAGTTATTTATGACAATATATTTTGGACAAGTGTTAGCCTCGAATTTTCAAATTTAGATTTTCTAAAAATGATGTTCTGTCTGCTCCTCTGTTAAAAAAACGTAATTAAACTGACTGAATTATATTATGCATAAATGTCAATGTTAAATATCTCAACTATACATAACTTTAACTCTTTACTTCAGTCTTTTGCCAGTTGCCAGCCACCGCCAGCATTTACGTCCATTTGGGGAAACGCTGTGTCATAAATGATCGAAAATTCCATCAATAAAAGGGAAAGAGTTAATATACTCCAGACATGCATTTTTATCTATAAATATTGTTACAATTTACGTAAACTGCCTGAATCTTTCAGTTGATTTTGTTTTTTGTTTTTTATTCAAAACCATTCATAAAATAATAGATAGAGAATAATTATGATTCAAACATGTTTTCCAATTATGATTAAAAACTACTGAATTAAACCCAATGATATTGTCACCTTATTAAACAATATCTTTACATTTGATTTATTTTATTATTTTATTCTTATTTTTATTTTATTTTTGGGTGTGGCAGCTCTGGAAATTAAATCATCATATTGAAGATGCAGCAGAGGAAATACCTATTGTGATGCATTTTTGTGACAGCATGTGCTTCCCTAAATTATTAACACATTATTGAAGAAAACATACAGCCTATGTTTCCAACTTTCAAATGAAAATAGGTAGTCATTTTGTTTTGATATACATTGCCTTAGCATAATAATTGGCTGTAGTTATGACCAGCTGACCCCTGCTGTATTGCATGCCATAACCAGTAAATGTGCTGTGGATAATTTGACAGCATGGCGTACACACGGTACAGTAGAGTGATGTACTTGTGACTTCTGTATTTGTTAAGGCAGTTACCGTTCTCCTCTTTATAACAGAACGTCTGTGTGTTTCAGATCCAAGGTCTGATTCGTCCGCATGCCATCATCATCCTCCCCAGCGGCAGTGGGATGGAGCTGTTGCTGTGTTACGAGGATGAGGGCGTCTATATCGACACCTATGGCCGCATCACCAAGGAGACGGTTCTGCAGTGGGGGGAGATGCCCGCCTCTGTCGGTGAGTTTCAGCTCTCCACAAGAACAGCTGCCACATCCATGAACATTAGCGTGTAAATAATGTACAGTACGGACATGCAATGATTGATCTATAGATAATGCAGCTTCATTTTAATATGTATGTTTTTTTTGTTGTTGTTTCTCTTGGTTTTTGATGCAACTGTCTAAAACTGGCTATATTACTGCTCTTGAGCTGCAGTTCTTGTACTGACATGTGACTGATGTGAAAGAGATTCTAAATACGAAAAAGCAAAACAAGTCATTTGGGTGGATGAGTCATCTTTCAGCCCACTTCCTACATATGAGCAGATTTGTGTGTGGAGAAAGTCACAGCAGACTTGTGTTAAGACCTGTTCACACCAAGAATAATAAAGTCTTAAAAATCGCACTCTGAGGATAGTTTGTTTTGGAACTTTGAACAAAGGGAGAAAATGCACAGTTCATTACGGCAAATATGAACATGGCAATCACGCTCGTATCCGCACCAAAACAATCGCTCTGGATCGCCTGATCGAGGTGGTCTCGGCCCGATTGAAAACGAACTATGGGGTGGTTCAGTTGAGGTGAGAAGCAATCCGAAACCAAGGAACCAAGCGGTATCGTAATTCATAACGGGAAACGTGTCATATAAAAAGCAGCAGTGTCTGATTCTGTGAGCGAGCACATTAAGCCGAGTTCAGACTGCACGGTTTTCAAAGTAGTCGTGTCACTGTTCTTTTCACACTGCGTGACTATCTGGGGTAACATTCTGTTGCTGCTGTGTTCACACTGAACGATGGCTCGGCGACAGGAGGTTTCACACTGCATGACTTTACAAAAGAAAGTAACTTCTGCCTGGTCTGCAAACTACGTTTCACAACCAAACACAAACGAGAAGTGATAAGGAAATAACGCAAGATCACGCGTGCTTGAGTTCTCACGTGAGACTCAAATTGTTATTAAAAATGATAGCCTGCAAGAAGCTTGCGATCCCAATTGTCTGTGCACTGATTTGCAGTGAAAAGGTAGTCTGGGTTTCCCCATACTGCCTTCCCGCAGCGCGATTTTATTCACGCTGAAAGGCAGTATGGATACCATGGACCAAATTTTCGCCTCATTTAGGGAACCAATCACAGAACGGGGAGGGAGCAGCAAGACGATGACGCGTCTATGCGACACACCGAAGCAGTTTGTTTATACCTATGGATCAAACATGGCAGTAGACGCGAAGTTGCCTTTCGATGCAGCCTTACGGCCGCTTCACACATGGGTTTCACACCGCAAGCGTGAGCGGCATTTGAGCAGCGCGTCAGCGTAACTACATCGTCACTGCAGCTGCAGACGCGCGAGATTATTCACACTGGAAGCGTTTGTAGACAGTGTCACAGCAGCGGCTCCAAAGCTACATATCGTTAGCCTCATAGCATAATTGCTTAAGTCATTTTGTGTTTTTTCTTGTTTTCCAAAGACATTGAAATATGACTTCGGCATTATATATAAGCGAGCAATTCTTTACAAAAACAACTATACATTTGTTTTTAGAAGTTGGTCATTTTATAACATTGATAGTCTTGAAATTTTGTAATGGGGAGGTGTACAACATTCGCATATAAGTTAAATGTAATACAACAAAACAACCCAGAAAATGGCTCCAATCTATTAGTTTCAGTCATACTTTCGATGTTTACAAGACCGCAACTCCGCGGATAAAAAACAAAACACACAAATAAACCACACACTCGGGTTTGATTTGGGTTGTGCTAGCCTGTAGGTGTCTGTGTGTTAACGTTACATGAACTAAAAGAACGTTTATATATAATATTTTCTGGCTAGTTTACTTTAGTTTTTTTTATTTATATAATACACAACTTTCACCCAAACTGAATAATTAAAAACAAGTTTTTACCGGGTAAATCTTCTATAAATATTTTAGAGTCTTTATTTTCTTTTATTTGCCTACTCAAGTTCTTGTTAAAACTTTTTGTGGCAATTTTTGTGTGAAATCACATTTATTTTTGTCCATCAAAAGTGTGCTTTCACTTTAATTTAGCGTGAGCAATGCAGCAAAAAACAGATTCGAAACCCCCGCTTCACTGCTGCTCACGCACCGCTCCTGCTCGATGCTCACGCGCTGCTCCCGGTGTGAATGCACTCATTGCTTAACATGCACGCCGAAAAAAATATGCGCCGCTCACGCATGCGGTGTGAAACGGCCGTTAGATACACGCCATCGTGTAGGCTACACATAAATCTCTGACCCATCGGCCATCGTCGTCTCCCTCGTCTCATTTCTGTCGCTCTACATACGTCATCTGGTATAATCGAAACGATTGGCTATGAGCTACGTACAGGCGCATTTGATAGACATTCTTAGCACCCAATAAACGGCTCTGGGCATTCGTAAACCACGCCTCAAATACGAGAAAATGAACATGTGGTTCCCAGACCCAAGTCTCAACGAGAATTGGGTCTGGCGTTAGCCAGGCTAGTGAAAAGGAGAAAAGAAAAACAGATTATCCAGGAGGAAATGGTTGGGGAGACGAGAGCAAGGATTGTGTGTTCTGCAAAGAGAGTTAGGGGTTTCTGTTTGATATAATTGTAAATATATCTATTAAAATACTGATATTCTGGTCTAACTCCTCCCCGAACATCCTGCTGTCCTGTACCTTGCTCTCTCATTGGCTGTCGGTCATCGCCGATGTAGTTTTCAGTCAGAACACTTTTCACACAGCAGGATTTTGAATCGCCAAATCGGGGCTAAAATCGTGCAGTCTGAACTCGGCTTTAGTTATCACAGTTGAAAACCAAAGAGCGCCTCTTCATCTTCAAATGTTGTGTAAAATCTTGCTCTTCTCCCTGCACTGCAAGAATGCTGTCCCGACAAAGCCTTGATTCCTACTCTAACGGCATTATAAATTAATTTTTTATTTATGTGAATAAATTAGTAGAGTGGGAATGTGTCCCTGTTCTAGCTTATGAATGATGACTGAAACTTTGAAACTTTCGTGTTATGATAAATCACAAAATCATCTTGATGGATGACGCAGAGGAAACTCTGAGCAATGAGAGGACAGTTTAATCACGTGTGCCTAAACACTTTTTGGTACGCTTTGAAATGTTGCCTTGTGAAAGCGAACCAAACCAAGAAGAAAATGCTACATTGTAATAAATGATGTTTTATTAACAAAGTTCGGGAGGAGCACGTTCTACCCAATAAGTACGATTATTACGCACGCACAATAAGCACGCCAAATACGCATATACCTTTACTCGAATTATTTGTAAGTGTGAACTCATAAAGTCCCTGTTTCGGAACAAAGCAAACGATCTACAGATCTGAAAACGCCCTAAGAAAACAGCAGAGTCTGTCACCACAACTAGGACTTATTGTTGGAATCACTTTCAGAGCTAAATATATGCATTAATGCTCTGAAAACATAACTGAAGCACACTCTTAGAATAAACATACCGTTATCATCTGTTTATGTGGACGCTTATAACGTTTTCTTTCATGCTGTGGTCTCAGCTTGGAGGATGTGACAAAAGTTTTCTACTGAGATCTGTGTTCAGTATAATAAACAAGAGACAGTACAAGACTTACATAGTCTCACATTCCCTTACTTTACCAGAGCTCAACATTAAACAGTGTTCCTTAAAAGAGGTTTCAAGACAACTTCATCACTAAAGTGGTTCCAGTCTAGAGTAACTATTAGTAAGATTATTAGTCTTAGATGGAGGAGACTATTGTGTAGAACTTTACATCGTTGAATAACCACATGAGTCTGGGTAATCTTCTCTGTTGGCTCAATGGCAGCAGAGGAACATTTGAGTGAAACATTACCATGGTTGAGTCTATTTGCACTAGGCCAGATGGGCCAGACGCTGGTGAGCTGCTGCTGCTGCTGACAAACTAACAGTTCAGTTTAGAAACTTTATTGGCCAAAATGTGGAAAATTATCAATAAAAATGTACTGTACACAAAATGATAGTATTAAAAAGTATACAAATATATAAAAACTATAAAAATAATACAAATATAATACAACCTTGATGAGCGAACCACAAATTCAATTTGGCACAAATGACGGCACCTTCTTGGTGTTCTGTGGTTTCCTAAAATCCTGAGTTTCGATCACAGAGAACGGTGCCTTACCTCGACTCAAATATAATTTACTCAATGTTATCTTGTTGATTTATTGAATGTCATGCTCGCAGTCGTGCTCATCAACTGCATTCTTGTGATTTTGCTTAATCATTTAAATGATTTTTGATCACATCTCCTTCATATAGTTCAGATGAATATATTGATGCAGTGTTAAAACTTCACTCATTCTTTTTCAGAGTTGCTCATGTTAAACAGCAATGATAGAAAACCATGTTTGAACCAAATCATCTCCACTTCGTTGAATGTTTGTGTGTATGTGTGCTTAAGCTAGAGTCCTTTCTTCGTGACTAGTTGACTTGATGTTGATTTGCATCTGTTTCGCTGTTGTTTTTCAGCCTACCTTCAGTCAAATCAGGTGATGGGATGGGGCGAGAAAGCCATCGAACTCAGATCTGCCAAGACTGGAAGTCTGGAGGGAGTCTTCATGCACAAAAAGGCTCAAAAGCTCAAGTTCCTGTGTGAGAGAAACGATAAAGTAAGAAAATTCCTATATGCTTGTCACATTTAGAAACACCAAAAATCTCTCCAAATTACCCCAGAAATCCCATAACATAGAACCATTTTTAAAGAGGTTGTCTGGGCATTATAAGCATATGAATGACTAAAAGGTATGAAAATAAAGCATTATGTGTTTCTCTGCAGGTGTTTTTTGCTTCTGTCCAGTCGGGTGGATGCAGTCAGATCTACTTCATGACGTTAGGACAGAACTCGCTCTTCAACTGGTGATCTTTTGTTGCTCGGTAAAAGCATCCAAATTACTCCGTATAGACTGTCCATATCCCATAATGAACAATCTCTGCAAATAAATTTCAAATAGCCCATTTTTCCATGTTCACATGTAAACAGTTTTAATAAAAGTGATATATATATATATATACATATTAATACATGTAAAATAGGTGATTTATTGCATCCTGTCTGACAGCGTCAGCCTTTGTCGTCTTGATCTGTGCTTAACCCCGAAACATAAATCTTGTTTTGGATTTTAATTTTATTTCTCTTTCTATTTTCATGTCAAATCTAGCTAAATGGACTTTATATTTTGTCCCTAATACCTAATTATTTTATTGTATAATAACCATGGCTGGTACACGGTTTGGTGTGAAACCGATACTAATAGCTAGTAGATGAAGGACTAACTGTTGTACTATTGTACGGTCAAATGTTGTTTTTGGGGGGGTTGGGGTGTATGCCGACAATTCAGAACTGAATTGATACAATAACTGTGCACTTTTAGCTTTAATTTTAGGGACTTTTCAGGTTAAAAAATTTTTTGTAATGATCAGTTTAACTTTGTTGTTTTTGTTTATTATAACTCTCACTATACTACAACACAAACATAACTGAACACATTATCATGATAAATGTTATATCAATAAAAGGTTTGTTTAGCTGTCACATGTCTTTTGGATGCAGACTGAACGTCTAATGTTTCCTTGACCGTCTGTGAGGAGCCTGAACATCTTCTTTTTTTTTTTTTGCTGCTGGTTTTGTTTTAGCTCTTGTCTGCATTTCACAGATAACAAAGTTTCTTTTAGTTTAGCTTTCTTTTTAAAACCTTTGGTTCTGGCTAATTCTAGCCTTCCATATCTACTTCCACAAGTTTCATTACGTTCCACAAAGCCATATATTTCAGCTCAAGTTTAGGGATGATTGCTAAACACATATCCTTAATTCACAAAGACTGGTATTTTGAAGCCAGACAATGACATCCATTAAATGTCAAAATAGTTTTTTAAATAGAGTTCAGTTGGCATAATATGTGCGAGACATTCATCCGTTCAGTGCTTATCTTGCAAATGATTTTCTCATGCTGTAACATGTAACAATTCAGTGTAAATTAGGCTCTCATTAGTGTTCTACCTATGGCTTAATATGTGTTTTCTGTTAGCCGTACTGTATTTGTTTAAATTTGAAGGAAAATTAAGACAAAGTTATGAAACATTTTCATTATTTTTTGTATAGAAACTAACTGAACAGAAGTGTAACAGCCTTCGCGTTACTGTATTATTTTTATGTTTTCATGGACTTTCAGTTTGTTTTCATTCATCACATGTGCTCCTTTGTTTGATTTTTCCCGCCACTCATCAGTAACCATGGTGATTCATTCATCACAGCTGTTCATCGTTTGTCACCACCATGTGTTTAGTTCCTTTCGGTTCACTCTGTTTCTGTCAGGCGATGTTCATGTATGCTAGTGTTTTGCTGCACACTGTTACGCCTGTCTACCTTTTTGTTTTAATAAACCATGTTTATATTTGTATCCAGTCTTCAGTTCGTCTTTATCTTGTTACAAAGCCTGGTTGCTTGTGGAAAAATACAACATATGTGTGGACGTGAACGTAGAGATGTGAATGTCTAGAGATGTGAGTTGAGATGGTTGATTCTGTTGGAAAATGAATGGAGCAAGAAAAGCACCAGGAAAGGGGACATGCTTTCCTGTAGCTCAAACATTAGAGTGTTGGCGCTTGCAACGCCAAGGTCATGGGTTCGATTCCCAGGGAAAGCAAGAATGGATAAGAATGTAAATGTGTTCCTTGAAATGCAATGTAAGTCGCTTTGGATAAAAGTGTCTGCCAAATGCATAAATGTAAATGATCATATGAATGTTTTTTTTAAAAGTTGGAATGTTAGAAAATGGAGCTTGGGATATGTGGGATTGGTAACTGTTGAATTGTTATATCTGGACTTGTATGTACTCTAAGCACTTGTGAGTCAAATATGACTGCTAGTAAAATGGCACTCAAATGGTTTTTGTTTAGAAGAGACATTTTTGTGTCATGCGCACATACAACACAGAGGAAATGATGCTGGATGTAGATCAGAAATGCTGTTTTGAGATCTTGTGAAGGATCATAATCATTTGCAGCAGAAGAACAAAAATATATTTCCATACATTTATGATCACTATTATATGGTGTAAATATAGTTTAATACAATATTAGTTCATATATTTTTCAGTATATTACAATATATTGAATAATACATAAGGAATTGCTGCTTTTCATATATTGAAAAATATATTTACACTGATGGGTGTACTAAGAAAACATGTGGAAAAGGTGTGTTACTCAAAGTCTTAAGTTGCTAAGGCATGAGTATTGGGACAATGATGGACTGTGCATTAATTCATCCATTAAACTGCAAATACTTAGTGCATGTCTGAAACTTAACTGACTAAAAAATAAATAAAAAAACACTGTAATAGTTACTGCCTTTTAGATAAAGCAACATGCTTTATGATCAGTGTTTCTTGGTCTTCTGCTGGAGAAGCACAGGTAGCCTGACGTCATCATACTCAGATTCTAGTCCTCAAATGTTGTGGGTGTGGCTAAGTTCTGCTGGCATCCAGCCTAAAGCACAGGCTCTACTCTTCAAAACTCAACAGAAACCCTTTCAATCCCAACAAAACATTAAACACTAACAGATCTCTCGAGATTGCAGCAGAGGAGTGTTAAACAACAAAAACAGCATTACCAGCTTCACTTATCCAGACTGACTTTATTTCTATCGGAGGTTCTTATTGAGAATTAACAGGTTTAGATGTTGATGATTTATTGAAAATAATATAATTTTACAGTCACCATGATGGAGATCAGTGTTTGCTTTAGCTGGGCTCTTGACTTTATAACACTGAGTGATCTGATGGGTATTTACTGATGGAGTCATCCTCATCATTGAATATCCTGGATCACAGATCTCATCCTAAGGTGTATTAAACAAGTGTGTTAGATCATTAAATCCATTTAAACATTCATTTATAAACAATGTGAAACTCTAACAAGAGATCAGACATTATTGTGGTAATCAGATACTTAAAAAAATAACACATTGTGCTCAAAACATTTTGAACTACTGTCACACATGGACATCAAGAATCAGCATATGAATCTCAACAATGGTGACACGCTTCATGCTGCAATGCATGCTGGGAACCATGGATGAGTTTTATACTATGGTATCTCCCAGAATGCATTGCAGCATGAGGCATGCCACCGTTGTTGAGATTCATATGCTGATTCTTGATGTCCGTGTGTGACTAAATACAGCAATGGTGCAAAAAACACAATTTTGATCAGTGATAAATCTTGGGATGTGATCTGTGACTCAGACTAATTATTGAAGATTATACCATCATCAATAAATACCCAACAGATTTTCCATAGAATTCCTCTGGCTGCTATGTTCATACGACACTGTCATTGTGGCAAAAAAGCCAAGAGGAAAAACTCAAGCTCTTGAGCTCAAGAGCCCAGCGAAAGCAAACACTGATCTCCATCATGGTGACTCTAAAATTATATTATTTTCAACAAATCATCAACATCTAAACCTGTTAATTCTCAATAAGAACCTCTGTAGACGTCTGATAGACATAAAGTCAAGCTGGTAATGCTGTTCTTGTTGTGTAAGCCTCCTCTGCTGCGCTCTCGAGAGATCTGTTAGTGTTTAATGTTCTGTTGGGATTGAAAGGGTTGTCTGAGTTTTGTGGGTCACCATTGTGCTGAAGAGTAGAGCCTGTGCTTCAGTCCAGAAGACCAAGACACACTGATGATACACTGCGTGTTGCTGTATATAAAATGCAGAAATATATTACAATCATTTCTATTAACTTTGTAAAGTATTGTTTATTTTATTTATTCAATTAAGTTTCTGTTTAACCCTCTACTGCACAGTGTTGCCATATGGCAACATACCCTTTCTTTGGACATTTCTTGAAATTTGAAAATAAACATGAGCTCTGATTGATCTTAAATTCATAATAGAACCCGGTGGTAACCAATGATATGCTTTGATGACATCACGACACTACACACACCCTTGCAACGTCATTCTTTTCACACACTTTTGATGACTCCAGCTGCTGAAAAAGTGCTCGTGTATATGTGAAGATTTTCCTCATTTTTTTCATATTTCTTCGGAATAAAAAAATACATCAAGCATCTGGGATAAGTTCTAATCTTTTTTCAATCATTGTCACATTGTTTTGATACTTATATTACCTTTTTATTTAATAAAATAGGTATGTTGCCATATGGCAACATTGTGCGGTAATGGAACAATATTTTGCCCATGCTAATGCAGAGTAGCTTTGTATGAATGACAATGTATGGATGCACTGATATAGTTGGATGGTTGTATTCTACTCATATATTTATATATATTTGTATATATTTATAAAGTAAAGTAAAGTATAAAAGTAAAATATATATCCGTCTTGACCGCTTTGATCACTGGCCAGAGATGGGTGCACCAAAAGGAAGGTGCAAGCATCCTGGCTGCAAGGGCATTGTCAGAGTTGTTTGCTCTAAGTGCAAGGTGCACCTCTGCCTTAAAGGTGGGGTAAGTGATTTGCAAAACGGCCGGCAGATTTTGAAAATACACAACTCAAAAGGTCCTACCTTCTTTCCTCCAACGCTGGCCCTGACTCCACCCATTCGAAGAGGGGGAGGGGGGTATGGTACGACCGTTTGATTGACGCACTTACTGTCCAATGATTCTAGGTGGTCTTGGAAATGATTGGCTGGAGTTTTTCGAGTCCTGCCCTTTCCACAGATAATTACATTTTTTAATTTTCATGTCAGTGCTTCTAACTCAGTGGCTGTAAGTGGGTTAGGAATAGGATTTCAAGTGATTTTGAAAAAATGGTCAAAAAAGAAAATCACATACCCCACCTTTAACGGAGAGAACAACTGCTTTAAGGCGTTTCACATCGAGTAGTTTCACTTGAACAGTTCTTATGAGTTTGCGTCAGATGTTTTGTAAATGTTGTTGAAATAATCGTTTCACATTGAGTAGTTTCACTTGACCAGTTCTTATGAGTTTGCGTCAGATGTTTTGTAAATATTGTTGAAATAATACTTTGAAAATTAGTTTCATATTTTGTACACAAAGCTCTTGAAAACATTTTAAATAATAAAAACAATTTCATTTCTAAAAGACAGGTCTGTAATCATCTATGAATTTCATATCATTTTGGGAGAAAACGCATCAGGCTGTTCCATTGTCGCACAATGTTGCCATATGGCAACGTACCCAAAAGTACCCCTCCCAAAAAAAAAAAAAAGAACAAAAAAAAAAGAAATGTTAATTTGAGTCTATTTTATATATAAAAAAACACTGTAAATTTTTTTTCCATGATTGCATAATAATGCGTGCAGTAGAGGGTTAATAAATACAAATGAAAACACACAATGAATGCAAATACAAATGAATGCACACAACACATTAGGTGTGCATTAATTTGTGTTTTATATTAGAAACTTACAGCTTTGAGTAAAACATCCTTGAGAAATTTAAGGCAATCGTTTTATGCGTTTTCTAAGTACACTCAATTTTGTAAATTTTTACATTTTACAGTGTAAATATATTGGTCAATATATGAAAAGCGACAATTCCTA